CGACGGCAGCGGCGACGACGATCTCGACCGCAGCGTCACTAGAGACACGTCGGTGCAAGGATCAAGATTAGAAGGCGAAGCGCAGCGAGCCTTGAAATCTCGCATGTATATATGCACATTTGTGTATATCTATATGCTTCGTAATCTGTTGAGGAAAAGGATGAGGGTCAAGTCAGCCAGGTCGATGCCCACCTTTCCTTCCATAACATAAGAATACATTGTGGCACACTTTAGAATTGTGATTGGAATGCGCTCCCACATTACAAGCAGTTGGCACTCGTGCGCGCTCCCACTTCACACGAGTTGGCGACGTGGAAACATGCGGACCGTGTACTGGCGGAGGCGGAGCGTCATAAAATCCTGGCGGCCAATGTTCGATTAGCGCATCGAAGACGAGAAACGCGGCGCTCCGCAACAGCACTGCCACTCTCGCACACGAGCCTGCGCGGCGCATGGGCGAGGACGCCATTTCGCCCGCTCTCGCGCAGACCCGCTGGGATCCGGAGAGCGACGCGCAAGTGTGATACAAAGACGAGTGTGATAAGACATTGTGATTAAACAAACCGTGATAACAAAAAACGGTGATAAAAAACTTGGATACACAAATTTTATCACATTAATATCACGCCTCGCGCCCACCTGGGAGCAGCATCTTTTTCAAGCGAAACTTGTGCACAGAGCGAACGCGCAGGCGACAGGTCGTCCGCTCGCGCGCGGCCCCGCCCACCGACTGGGCGAGTAAAAAACTGCGAGCGCGGCGCCGAGCAGGAGCGCCGCCTGCAGGCGAGAGCTGCGCGGCGCTGAGGCGAGAGCGACGGTGGAGGGAAGAAAGGGAGCAGCACTCCCCGCCTCCCCCGCAATTCCAAGGTGGCATGCTCCTTGAGAAGACCACTCGGAGGCCCAAAATCGGAAGATCCGAAACCACCACTGCATTTGGGCGGGGGGGGGGAGTTCAAGCCATATGCTCTGCGTGATTGTTGCTCAGTTTGTTTCCGAGACGTGGATGTTTCGCCCGCTCGCGCGTCGACCCACTGGCGAACGAAGAATGTGCGCCGCGCCAAAGCGGCCACATTTGTTCCCTGTTGCCCGGGCGAGCCAGTGTCGACCGCTTCCCCCCCCCGTTGATCTTTGCCAACTGCCACCCTGCGATACAAACGCGTTGATCTGACAAGTGCGAGAGGTAGCGATCCCGATCAGAGTATATGATGCGGGCCACAGGTGCGCGCCCCGGCGCGCTCGCTTCGGCACCTTAATCACATCGACACACGAGCCCGGAAATCAATTCAGTAATGCAATGCACGGCGATTTTTCCAGGATGTTTGGTTGGGCGACGGGCATCTGCAATGCTGAAGGTATCGATCGCGATGTACCATCCCAGGGGTTGTGTTGTGCCGTGCTCAATTGAATTGTGCCATGCCGCGATGACTTGCGTTGCTCTCTATGGCGTGTGGATCGAGTCGTCCTCAGCATTCGAATCCTGACCGAACTGATCTGGATCTTAAGCTCGAGCTGACTGATCGCATAGCTTGCCCAGAGATGGTTGCAGTCGAAACGTGCGGGGCGCCCAATCAGCTCGAGCTCAAGACCGGACACAGTTCAGAAACGGGACGGGACGACACGGGGCGCAGGGCGCATGGACGCGTCACGGGAAGTGCCAGGGGCGCATTAGGGGATGCGCCAGGGGACGTGTCAGGGGACGTACTAGGGGACGTGCCGTGGACGTGTCAGTGATTTGCCGCGGGACGTGCCAAAGTGCGTGCCATGAGGAGTGCCAGAGAACGTCATGCCGGAGGACGTCCCAGCGGACGCCCCACGCGAGGGGACGTGGCAAAGGACGTGCCACAGAATGGACAGGCGAAGCGCCAGGGGACGAGCCAGGGAACGTGCCACGTGACGCGCCGAGGGGCGTGCCAGGGGGCGTGCCAGGGCACGTCACGCCAGAAGACGCCGCAAGGGACACGCCAGGGGACACGCAAGCGCGCCAGGGGTCTCGCCATAAATCGGGCAGTATGACGCGCCATGGAACGGACAGGGGGACGCCCAGGCTGCGTTGTGTCATGCGACGTTGAGCTGCGATGCGCTCTACGTACGTACTGCGTTGCGGGCCAAGTCGCCAGCGGCGCCCGAATCCTGACCGAACTAATTTGAATCTTGGTCCCGAGCTGTTGAACTCGTGGTTCGCGCAGAGCTCTCTGCAGTTGACATTGCGTGTGAGATTGCTCGCACCATCAAACGTGTCTCGAGCTCAAGATCCGATTCTGTTCCGAAGTGGGACGAACCGAGAACCGAAACAGCCACGGAATGCTTCATTTCGGTTGAATGTAAACTGCATCGGTCTAGGATGAGTGTAATGCGCACGGTAGATGGCCAATCGGCTAATTAATTAATCTCAGTTTTGTGCCCTGGACACGTGACAACAAGCGTTTCGTTCGAATCATCCTCAGCACATCTTCATGTTATAGATCCGCCAGAGCGACCTAGACGCGTGCAGCCAGGCGTTTCGGCAGAGACAACCTCAGCCCATCCTCATGCTACAGATGCGCCTGGGCGACCTGGACACGTGAACACAAGCGTCTCGTTCGAGAAAACCTCAATACATCCTCATGCTAGAGATCCGCTTGGGCGATCTGGGCACGTGAAAGCAAGTGTGTCGGTTGAGAGATCTTCGGCACTTGCTCATGTTAGAGTTGCGCTTGGGCGACCTGGGCAATTGAGCGCAAGCGCTTCGCTCGAGACATCCTCAAGCAGTCCTCATGTTAGAGGTCAGCCTGGGCGATTTGTGCACATGCAACAATCGCTTCGCTCGAGATATATTCACCGCATCCTCATGTTAGAGATCCGCCTGGGCCACTGGGACACGTGAAAACACGCGTTTCGATACACGCATGTCATACCATCCTCATGTTAGAGACCCGCTTGACCGATCTGGACACGTGAACACATCCGTTTCGCTCGAAACAAAGCCATATGCTTGAGATCCGCTTGGGTGACCTGTACACGTGGCAACAGCACGTTGTTCTAGACACCCCGAAGAGTTGCCAATCGCGGACTCTTCTGCCCACGCGTCCATCGGGTTGTTCGGCGCTGTGGTGATGATGGGGGGGAATCGGCACACGCATATTACAACATGTTACAGGAGCAAACTTGAAACAACAGTAGTATGTGGTCGACACACATAGGAACATGCGTAGCCATTAAGGAATTGAGGCCCGTCTGTAGAACCATAGGTACGCCACAACGGTTTCGAAACCAGTCAGTAGGAGCATACGCAATTCATTAGGATTCGAGGTCAGCCCACATGAACATACACGGCTGCGATCCTTCGCACATCACGCTGGGTCTTATACGATGCGGGTCACATGCGCGCGCCCCCGCGATTCCATGACAACCAACATCATAACACAGCGGATTTCTAACAGAACGTTGTAGCAGGTGGTGCGCGTGGGAGACGTTTATTGGGGCCAACGGCGATACTCATTCCCCCTTCCACCTCCCCCATACTCATCATCTTCAGCGTTCGTAAACGCATAGCAGCTGTTCACAACGTATCAGCACCCTGCTTGCGCTTTACTTAGCAACTTGCTGGCATAGATTTGCGCGCGCACCCTCGCGGACATCATCAGGCAGTAGCGGTTGTGTGCCATTCCGTCAGATCAGAGCATGCGGGCCGCTTGCGTGAACAGACCGAAAGCAGTAGAAACGTCACCGCGCGCCCGCCAACTCTGTCAACTAATCTCATGCGGGCCGCACGTGCGCATCCCGTTGCGCGCATGTCTACATTTGCCCAGCTGCATTGGTCCCATGTGCGCTTCGAGAGGGAGAGAGGGATAGAGAGAGAGAGGGGGAGGCAGAAATAAAGAAAGACAACGAAATAATGCTTTCTTCAACCACACCTGGCACCCAATTGCTTTACAATAGAAGCTATGCCAGGGTTCTGAGTTTCTACACGCGCACACTTCCTCATAATCCTGCGCAGCACCATCCCATCGCCACCGTGATCGTTATTGCCATCGTCACCACGGTCATCGTCAGCATCGCCGCCTATATCATTCTTTATCAGTATCACCCTCATCATTGGCATCGTCATTATCGTTGCCATCGCCACGCTCATGGTCGCTATCGGCGTCATCGTGATCATCGCCACCACCATCACCATAACATTTGTCGTCGTCGTAGCCGCTGCCGTCGTCATCATGATCCCGCGACCGCCCGAATCATGGATGCGCATGGGAAGTGCCCACGCGCCAGTGTGGACGCTGAGTTTCGCAAAGAAGTCCCAAGCGGTAAGCGCAATCGTTTGCATCCGCACTTTCATCTGCATCACCATCATCACCGTCGTCGCATTTCCACCGCCGTCATCACCGTTGCCAATGTCATTGGCGTCGCACTCATTGTCGGCATCACCCTTTGCTATCTTGCAGGATGGATTTCGTCTGCGCGGTCAGTGTCCACGCGCCCGTGCGCATGTTGAGATCATGGCAATCTGTGTTTTGGCGAAGAAGTTGTGGGTGGGAGGGTGGGATGTTCGCGCGAGCATCTGACTTGGCGACATCGGCACCATTGAAATGTACCACATACGTTTCACCAATATTGCACAGAGCTTGCACTACGTAGCTACATCTTATAGACTGCGCCACATATAGCGCACGTTGGGAGTTCAAGATGGTAAGATCGTGCAAGAACCCAGTGTTTGGGGCCCACTGCATTCATGATTTTGCAAGTTCGGTGAGCTCTTACGCTGCAAATGTCATACAGGGCGTGCCTCAGCAAATCGAAGTTGGGGCTCTCGCCCACGGCCAGAGTCGACGGAAGGTTCGCGGAGAGCAGCGGACGTAGAACGTGGATGGCTTTGCCGGCGGATGTTGGCGGAACGACGGCGGAAGTTGGGCGGAGACAGAAGTGGACCCCGTAAGAGGGACAGCGTTGGCGTACCCAAAGTTTTGGGGAGTCGGCCAATGCGTAATTGTTGTGTTGGCTTTGTTCCCCGCCAGCGCGCGGAGGTGGAGGCCGAGGCGAAGGCCGAGGCGGAGAGGCGTGCTCGTGAGGAGGCCATCCTACCGCGTTGCTCGACCCGTTCCTTCGCGGCCCCTCGATTGTTTGAGGCCGCCTGGCAGCGTCTTAGAAGCACTGGCCGCCCGTCGATCATCCCAACTGTGTGGAAGCCATTCCTTAACTCTTCCTTTTTGAAGGGTCGGGCTCTATGACTCCTCCATCCATTTGCCTTAAACATAACTCCTTTTTGTCGCACCCCCAGACGTGTCAGTAGGGCGGGCCTGGCGTTTCGTTCGAGATCTCCTCACCACCTATGACCCTGGAGTTTGAAAATTGCAGCAGTTTCGCGGATAGGGGGAGGTTCGTTTTCAAAATGTGATTCTCGCATCAGTGCCGCGTACAGTACATTCGTTGTCACAATTAGGAACAGCTTCATGGATGGAGGGTGGTTCGTTTTCAACATGTGGTTCTTTCTCGCTGGGCACGCTCGTCTTAAAAGTTGTGGAACAGCTTCACGGATGGAGGGCGCTTCCTTTTCAAACTGTGGTTCTCGCCCCAGCGACGCGCACATTCGTTTCACAAGTTTGGACCAGCTTCACGGATGGAGGGCAGGTCGTTTTCAAATGTGCTGTTCTCCATTTAGCGCCGCGCGCATTCGTCGCAAAAGTTTGCAACAATTTCAATGTTGTGAAGAGTGTTTTGACACGGTTGAGGATTCTCCGACGTTGATCTTCTAATAGGCCACTTCCCGCAATGAGCATTCATTCTTGCAGAGAGCTGCGAAGGGGGAATTTGCAGGGAGAGCTTATTGCAACATGGTTGTTGAGTCTTGGGTTTGCATTGGTCCTCCTCCTCCTCCTCCTCCTGCTCTTCCTCCCCCCCCCCTCCTCCTCCTCCTTCTTCTCCTCCTCCTCCTCCCCCCCTTCCCCCCATGCACGACTGGACTGGCTTGAATTGGTCGGGTGTTCCATCTCCGTTCTTGATATTTTCTTTACAGCGCACCCGCGGGCAATTGTCACAGGGCTGTCTCCCGTTCGCGGTCCTTCGCTGCTTGTTGGAATTCTTGCCAATGCAGCCAGATCATTCGTCAGCGAAGCTAGATACACGTGGCGCATTTGTTTAAGGTTTCTTTTCTCCGCCGCCCGATGATGTTCTGATATGGTGCATGTCGAACTGCTTGCGGTGTGATCGTGGCGTGGCCGACTTGGGCGAGAGGTGGGCGCAGACATGGCTGCACGTCTTTCCAGCGCCCTCGTGCGGGCGGAGTTGGACAGCTTCCCGCAAATGTATGCAACGCTTGGCGCCCGCACTCAACGGTAGTCTCGAGGCTTCACTGCGATAGAACTTGAGCGCGGGCGACGTGCGCGTGCTGGTTTTAGTTCCTGGTAAGAGCAGAGTCTATCCAGCCACCCCTATGTCCCCAATTTGGTTTTGCCGAACGGTATCAACTTTCTGTGTGAAGGAACTTGCGGGTCTGAGGTCACTTGTCAGAGGCATGGCGCGGGATTCCTCGGGTCATTTGGTATTGTTCTGTGCTTGGGTTCCTAGAGGCATTCCCCAGGGTTCGTCGGGCTTTCTCAAGCAATGCCAAGCAATTGTCAATCACTTGCCAAGCAATGCCAAGAAACGATTCCAAGTAATGTTAAGCAGCGAGTCCAAGCAATGCCATACAACATCAAACAGCGGTTCCAAGCAACGTAAAGCAATGCCAAGTATTGTATAGCGCTGAATTGCAGCGCGTTGCGCGGAACTGGTTTGAATTTCTATTGAAGAAACGAGACCCATATTTTTTTCGCGCCAGTTTTTGTTTCAATCGTAGGATGGCTTCAAGGATGGGGAGATGCTGAGCCGAGAGGGATAGGCAGCACCGCGCGGCCTTGTACTTCGCGCAGATGTAAAGCCCTTGTTTATTTTGCGTTGTCTCGTTGCGCGGTGCTGTGCCGTGTGCTGCGCATTGCTGGATATGTTTGGTATCCGAACTAATGGGGTAAGCTACCCTAACCCAGGAGCCGCGGCCGCAGCAACAGGCGTTCAAATATTGATAGCTCCAGCCTGATCCGACCGACACTGCGTCCAGAAAAAAGGTAAGCTACCCGAGCCCACGGTACAACAGGCGATACCCAAGCTTTCCCCTTTCGCGCAATCGCCAAGTCGTTGCGGCACATCAATGTGCGGGCGGTGTTGTGCCGTGTCCCTCGCGTTGCTGGATATGCTTACCGTAGACTGGAATTTAACGAGGAGCCCTACCCGAGCCCAGGGCGTCACGGGCGATGCCCAAGCTCGCCCCCCTCTTGCAATCGTAAAATATGCGGATGCAAATGTTCCAAGCAGGGAAGCATTCTGGAGCCGTGTACGGATTTTGAAGAAAGATGTCGGTGTCCTGCATGTGCTTCACATTTGTCTGTTTCTGTTCCACTTCTGGTGCACATCATTCTCGTATGATCAGGCAGCAGTGCGTCCAGGCCCTGGCGTGCTCCTTGCGGCCACGGGAGCGTGTGCTGACAACAATCGCTGGAGATTTTAACTTCGTGGAGTCGGGGCCCGACCGGGTCGCGAAGGCTACTGGGCGCCCCACAGGCGACCACGACAGGGTCGAAGCCAGACAGTTCCAGGCCATTCTCCGGCAGGGCCAGCACTTCCACGAGCTGGAGCAGGAAGCCTTCACCCACGCCAACGGTCTTGCCCGGTCACGCTTGGACAGAGTATATGTCAATCGGGAGCTCCACGAGCAGCTGGATCGACACATGGAGTGTTTCGCGCTGCCGTACACGGGCTGCTCGGACCACAAGGCCGTGAGCTTTGCGCGGCGGTCTGGCGACCGGTCCCCGCTGAAGGCAAGTTTTGTCGGGCCTGCTGTGTTCAAGCACCCGGACTTCAAGCGGCAGGTTGTGTTAGAGTACGCCCGCATTCTGGCACACGACGTGCTTCCTGCCACGGCGCCGAGGCAGTTGCTTCTACTCAAAAGAGCCATACAGGCAGTGTCGCGGAATCTTGAGCACAGCATTCAGGAGGATTGCGCCCGAACCGCTTTGGACAAGGTTGAGTGGATCATGGCTTTCATCCGTGCGTGCGAGAGACAAAACCTCCGGCGCATGCGGCACTGCGCTGTGGCGTGTCCCTTGATTCTGCAGCACTGCGACCCGCGCAATCCGGAGGCCCGGCTGACTTCTGGATTCCAGGAGCTCAAACAGTTGGTGGTTTCATTATCTAGAGAAGACATCACGGATGAAATGGAGCAGCTGCGACAGGAGGAAAACCCTGAGGGGCGCGCTCGGCAGAAGGCGAGTGTGCTGCAAAAACTCCGACGTCTTCTGCCCGGCACAACCACGACGTTGGCAGCAGTGCAACAGGAAGACGGCTCCGTCACAGCCGACCCCGCGGAAATGGCGGCGGCGCTCTGCCGGCACTGGCGAGGGGTCTTCAGCAGCAAGCCGATTGACGGGGACCTCCTGGAAAGATGGCTGACCTCGCTCCCGCTGCCAACGGAGGCCCGCGACGACGGCACACAGGGAGGCTCTGCCCCAGACCTCCCCTTGCAACGGCGACGTGCGCCCCGCGGTCGGCTCTCCCGCCGGTGCTGCGATTGGTCTGTTGGTATTTCGGACATTCTGTCTGCGATCAAACTGTCCAACAACTCGTCGCCTGGCCCGGATGGCATCCCTTTCGGCGCCTGGCGCGCCATAGGGAGACTCGGTGCCGAAGTGTTGCTGGGCGTGTCGAAACTCATTGAATCCGGCTGCGCCGAAGCCGCTTTCAACGAGGCCTACTCAGACGAAGCCGGCAGCGACGAGCACAACTTCAACCTTTCGACGCTAGTCTGTCTGCCAAAGGAGGCTGTTGGGGAGGACCCTGATCTGGGCGCATATTACACGGGTGCTGCCACGCGCCCTCTTTCGATCGTCAACAGCGACAACCGCCTCCTGACCAGCGCAATGAGGATCAAGTGGGAAAAGCAGCTGAAGGGATTCATCCGCGTCCGCCAGCAAGGATTTTTGAAGCACCGTTCAATTCTGCGCAATCTGCTCGAGGTGGACACCGCAATGCTTCTCACTGGTCTGGAGGGGGACGAGGGCGCGGCAGTGTTTCTGGACTTCGAGGCGGCGTTCCCCTCCATTGCCCACGACTACACCAATCGGGTATTGCGCTGGGCGGGGATCCCGGAGAACGCGCTTAACGCCTTCTTGTTCTTTTACACGCAGAGCCGTTGTGTCCGGTCGCTCAAGGGTCAGACCTTCGCTGGATTTCCGCTCCTCGCGGGGTGCGAGAAGGCTGCCCGCTGTCGCCGCTGGTGTACGCGCTGGTGGCGGAGGTGCTTCTGGACAAACTCGAGTTGGATATCAGCGACATCCTGGTGCGCGCATACGCGGACGACACGGTCTTAATCGTGAAGCACTTTCTGCAATCACTCCCAGGTTTGGAGCGCTTCTTCGTGGAATTTGGCGCCATATCTGGTCTGCGACTCAATATGCGAAAGTCAGTCGTGGTTCCGCTCACGCGGGCGCCGCTGGAGCAGGCTACGGCGTCCTTTCTGGAGCGCGCCGCCGCCTGGAAAGACATGTCAGTTCAACAGTCGGCGAAGTATTTGGGATTCGTGTTGGGCCCAGGCAAGGGTAACAAGACTTGGCACAAGCCCCTGGCCAAGTTTCACAAGCGCGTTCACATGTGGCGAGATGCCCCGCTGGGTCTACACTGGCAGGCGCGGGTGTTCAACAATTTCATCCTGCCTACGCCCTTATATGTGGCCCAGTTGGAATGGCCAGACTCTTTCGTGCTGGAGGAGGTGCAAGGATGCCGGGTAACAGCTGCGCCGTCGGCGCTTTTCCGGCTGGCCTCCGGCCCCGCTGCCTGGGCCTCCCCGACGGACCTCTGGCTCTTGCGGGACGCCTTCGGCGGTGCCGCGTCTTTCCACAACCTGGCATGGATGGCCGCGTCTTCTCAGATGAGGGCCCTGCATTGCGACAGAGGCATCGACGGCCAGCGGCAGTTCAGGGCGGACTGCGCCCAACTGCGCCAGGCATGGGCAAACGCGGACGCCGTGGGATGGATCGATTGGTATTCTCGCAGCTTTCTGCTCCGACTCCAGGACACAGACGATGACCTGCAAGCTCGTTTTGGCGAGGTGGACGAGGTCCGGGCGGCCCGGCGGGCTTCCCCCGCGTCTCCCGCGGAGGACGCGTGGTGGCGCAAGCAGTTCCAGGCCACCTACTACGACTGCCACGTGGCTCACAGCCTGGGCGACCCGGAAGGCCGCTTCCGAGAAAAACTTGCAGTCTGGCACCGGGGGGGCGCCGGCTTGCATGGGCGGATGCCAGGGGGCGCCCACCAACAGACGCCGCGAGTCCAGGCCACCAGAGGTCATTCTAACCTCTTGGCCCTGCGCCCGCTCGCCCCACCGAGAGTCCACTGCGCGACCTGGGGGTGCATCTGGAACCGCTGGACCACGGCTGCGCGGTACCAGCGCCGCCACCAGAGCCGGTGCTTGCTCTGCGCGGTGGAGGGAAGTGAAGACGGCACTAGGCACCACAGCCGATGCCGCGTGGCGCGGAGGCTCATGAGGACCAGACTTCGCCTCGACCCGCAAACCTTCTCCGGCATGCATGCGTGGGTGCTTTGCACGCCAGCATTGGAGACCGAGGAGGACCTGGCCTGCGTGGCCCTGTGCATCTTCGCCGTCTACTCGGTCACGAACGCCCTGCGACATGCCACTGGCGGGGCCCTCCAGACAGAGGAGGACAGATTCCAGGCGCTGTCACAGGCCGTCAAGGAGGGCGTCAAGGGCCACCCGCGCGCGGCCGCGATCCTTCGGCAGCGATGGGCAACAGAGGCCCCGCGGACTGCCATCCGGCCTGGACAGGTCGGCGCGGCGCGCGTCCGCCGTCTCCGCCAATGGCTGCAGGACCGCCAGAGACGCCGGGTGCGGCCCAGATTTTCTTGATTCAGCACGCTTTTGTCTGTCATCCGTAGTCGTTTTGACTCAAATTCCTCCTCTTCCCCCTCCCCCTCTGTATTTTTCCAAGCATCTGGCGCAGGCGGTTATTGTTTTTTTGGCCACGCGCGCCGCGCAGGCAGCGGCTCCTGCGCAGAAGGTCGTGCCGCTCGGCTGGGGCGTTCCTCCTCCCCTCGCTCGCCCTCCCCCCTCGTCCTCCGAATCGAGTTGCCACTTGTGCAGTCCAGGCCGGTCGTGCGACGAGAGGTCGCGGTGCAATTGTCTGTCCCAGAGTTCCCGGCACGAGCCCCGATCAATAATTTCAGGCTTGATCCCTTGGTACGGTGGCCGCCTGACCACCAAGTCCGAATTGCAACCCTATGTGGCACGCTGCGGCGCAGATTTTCTGCCAGCGGGGCGTTCCGACCTAGCTGTGCGCGTCTGCTCCGGTGCTTCCTGCCACCGCATTGCTGCGCTATTCGAGCGGAGAGGTTGGCCTGTCTCGGTCCACCTCTCTGCGGTCTCCACGCCGTGTACAGGGCGACTCCAGTGTACCTGCGGGAGCTGGAGGTGCTTGTATAGGGCGGCGACGCGGTGTACCTGCGGGAGCCGCCCCCGCCTAGCCTGCTCGGCCGCCGCGGCGGCCTCTTGCTATGCAGGAGGGTTGGCACGTCTCTGTCCACCCTCCCGCTGTCCTCCATTCTTGTTGGCGTTCCCCCTTTTCCTCCTTCCCTCTTGCTCCCCCCTGGTCGTGGGCGTATGCATGTATAGTTTTTTATGTGGTGCACGCTGCATGTTTGAAAAACTGAGAAGTGTCGATATGCTGATTTGCTGCGCGGCCGGCGACGGTGGCTGGGCGTTGGCCTTGGGGTGAGTGGTGGGTGGCCGTCCCCACGGGTCTGGAGGACCTCGATTGGCGCTGGGGCGCGAACCTGGCGAGATGGTTAGGGCGGTCCGCTCGTCATTGCGGCTTTCGACCGTCCACCACCTCCTCGGGTGCCCAAGCACACCATGTTCCGTACAAGCTCACTTTCAAGATGCACGCTGCTGGGGTATAGCGGCCTCTTCCTCCTCCTCCTCCGTCCTCCTCCCTTCCTCTGCACGGATGCTGCGCATTTGCAATTGTGGCTCCAGTGGTAGATGCACTACTCAGTGTACGTCGTGGTTTTGTTATGCGGCTGAATAGGCCCCTGGGGGTACAAATCACGGCTGGACGTCGACGGCCGAGGGCGGCTGCATTGCTGTACATTGTGCGTGGTTTCCTTCTCCCTCTGCTTCCTCTCCTCCTCTCCTCCACCTCAGGCCTATTGCGCGCTGGCCGTTTCAACAGGCCTCTTGAGCCATGACGGCTGATCGCAGCATCGGCCCGATGCATCACTTCATACGGTGGCCGCCTGGCCACCAAGTCCGAATTGCAACCGTAGGTGGCACGCTGCGGCGCCGCTTTGCTGTAGCGACTCGCAGTGACCAAGTGTGAGGGCACCGCTGGGGTTGATGGAGCCGGCGGAGATGGACGCAATCTGTTTTAACAGTTTTAACGCCGGTTTGATTTATTTTATTGTACTGCGCACTCTCCTTTAGCTTGTCGTTGTGTGCTGTCTATTTAATGGTCGGTTGGACCTCGTTGGGATGCACACACAGCGTCATTCTGGCCTTGACGATAGGTGCCGTCAAAGCCCCCTTGAGGGGATGCGGATTCAATACTTCATCAGAGCTGTGGAGCACTACGGCAGTGACAAGAGGTCCCACGGAGGAAAAAAAACATCATTCTCGTATGCTTGTCGTTTCGGATGCATACATCCCGCGCGTTTCCCATGTGTCCTGCAGGTTGGCCGCTATTTTTCAGAGCTTGTTCATTCCGTCGCAGGCCTCAAGGTAACAGTGGGTCTGGCTGGCAAGCCATGGCGGTCTGATCCGGCTTGACGGACGCACTCGATTCGACTATGGGGTTTTAGGGCATGTGTATTCGTGTATTTTGTGGAGCTTCGATTTGAGCAGTTTCTCTTTAGTTTCCGATACCCAGAGAATGCAAGCCCTTCAAGCTCGAAGGGCGAGCCTCCAGGTCAAGCCTCAATTCCTCAATTCTGGAGGTTTGGGGGTCCTCTGCATTGCACGAGTAGGCGATGATACGCATGCGACTAGATTCTCCTTTGTAAAAACAGAATAGACTCTACCCCCCCCCGGCGTTATCGCCACCCCCTTTTCGGGTATGTAAATCACATATGATTATGACTACATGTTCATCCTAAGTATGAAATCGCACTGTCCCAGGCCAACCGGTATCCCCCCCTGAGGTTCCCTTGTAAAAAAACATTATGCGGTGACACGTTTTGTTCTAACGTAACACTTTTCACAAATCCCTTGCAAAACATGAGACGAAGTGCACACGCGCGCGTCGTCGCGCGCGCATGCCGAAATCCTTCAAAAACCTTCGGTGTCGGAAGGATTTCGCAATCGAGTTTCCAAAAAAACATACAAGAACACCAGGTTTCGTAACACTGATTTGCTAAAAAAGCTTACGCGCGAGCTCTTGCGAAATCTTAAGAAAGCCATTGTTTTTTATAAGATTTTCACAAAATGCTACCAAACGGGCTTCGCGCGCGCGCATGTCGAAATCTGTCGAACGCCCTTGCGCGTGTGCCGCCGCGAGAATCCCCTGCAAAAAATGGGACGAAGTGCAGACGCGCGCGTCGTCGCGCGCGTATGCCGAAATCCTTCAAAACCCACTGGTTTCGGAAGGATTTCAAAAGCGCGCTTCCAAAAAACCTACAAAAACATAAGGTTTCGCAACACGGATTTTCAACAAAAGCGTGCGCGCGCGCTCTTGCGTCGTCGTCGTCGTCGTCGCCGTCCTCCCTCCTCCCGCGTCGTCGTCGTCGTCGTCGCCTACGTCGTCCTCTGTCTTTCCTCGTGTTCGCCGTCGTCGTCCTCTTTGGCGTCGTGGTCGTTTCCGTCGTCGTTGTCGCCGTGGTCGTCCTTCCTCCTCCTCCCTCGTCGTCGTCGTCTTCCGTCGTCGGCGTCTTCCGTCGTCGGCGTCTCGTCGTCGTCCCTTCTATTTCGTCGCGTCGTCGTCGTCGTCGTCGTCGTTGTCGTCGTCGTCGTCGTCTTCCCTCCTCCCTCGTCGTTGTCGTCGTCGGCGTCGCCGTCCTTCCTCCTTCTTCGTCGTTCGCGTCGTCGCCGTCCTCCCTCCTCCCTCGTCGTTGTCGTCGTTGTCGTCGTTGTCGCCGTCGTCGTCGTCGTCTTCGTTCGTCGTCGTCGTCGTCGTCGTCGCGTCGTCGTCGTCGTCGTCGTCGTCGTCGGCGTCATCGTCGTCGTCGTCGTCGTCGTCGTCGTCGGCGTCGTTGATCGTCGTCGTCGTCGTCGTCGTCGTCGTCGTCGTCGGCGTCGGCGTCGTCGTCGTCGTCGGAGTCGTCGTCGTCGTCGGAGTCGTCGTCGTCGTCGTTGTCGGCGTCGTCGAAGTCGTTGGAGACGTCGTCGGTGTCGTCGTAGTCGTTGTCGGCGGCGTCGTCGTCGTCGTCGTCGTTGTCGCTGTCGTCGTCGGCGTCGCTGTCGTTGCCAAGTCCCATTTTGCGAACCAAGTTGCGGGTGGGTGGGTGGGATGTTTGCGCGAGCAGTGGAGTGGAGAACTCATTGCGAACATAAATTAACTCCTCAGTTAGGCTTTGCCCAGGGGGACCTCTTTTGCTTGTGAAGAGACGGGTGGGTTCGGGGTCAATCGTCAGAGGCCAACCCTCGGGTTTCCCCGGGGTTCCTTGGTCTTGGTTTTGCTTGGGGGGGTACCCAAACGAAGGCACGCAATGCCAAGTAACGCCAAGTGCCGCCAAGCAGCGATTCCAAGCAACGCAAGGCAGTGCCAATCGACGCAATGCATTACATTGCCCCGCACTGTTTTGCATTGCTGGGGAAGAAAGAGCTTCAGCTGGGGTCGCGCAGGGTTCATGGATTGATTGAGGAGGCAGGAGAGGGGTTGTCCTCCTCTTCCCAATCAGCGATGATGCGGGCTTTTTACATCGCTAAAGAGCTACAGCCTGCAATGTGACATGCGTGCGTGCTGCTAGTGAGGGTTCACCCTCTGCCACCCACCGATCGTGGCCCAGGAAGAGGAGGAAGAGGGAGAGGGGGGAGAGGACAAGCTAGATGCGCTCACGCCTCATCTGACGTCCTATCCCTCCCTCCCATCCCTTCCCATTGCGTTGATGTTCGTGTCATAGCTGGCTTACGACTCACACAGAAGACTACTTCGTGTTGGGCGCAATCGGAAACAAAGAGCTGCGTGCACAGAAGGAGGAGGTGGCGGGTGAGCAGGAGGATGAGCGGGAGGAAAAGGATGAGGATGAACGGCAGCAGCAGGAACTAAAGCGGAAGGATCGGGAGGGAAAGGAGGACCAGAGGAAGGTGGAGGAGGGGAAATGAGGGAGCGACAGCGATGAATAAAGACTCGGATTCAGAAACGTGGCTTGCGATGGGGCGAGACGAACAGCAGCAGCAGCAGTAGCAGGAACTGGAGTGGAAGGAGCAGGAGAAACAGGAGGACCAGGGGAAGGCGGAGGAGGGGAAATGATGGGGGAGACCACAATAAAGCAAGACTCGGATCCAGAAAAGTGGCCCGCGCTGGTGCGAGAGCGCAATTCTAAACGACGGGAGCAGCGCGCGCGCAATTTGATCACAGAAGACAAACAGACACATCATTGTTTGAACTCCTGTGTGGAAAAAAACAGCACATGGAGGGGGCGGGAGTTCATCCAGGCAACTTCAGGGGAGGAAAGTAGTATTCATATGGTTCGATTGTTGAGGCCGAGGCGGCTTTCTGGGAGCTCGAGGGGCGGTATAAACCGTCTAGGGCCTCTTCTGGAGTGTCACAGCGGGACAAGGTTGGCAATCTGCACATAGACCTCGGGAACGACATACAAGTGTCGAACACAGTTCAGCAGCACTCGTGCAGAACACCTGTTTTTTAGACGTCACTGCCTCTCCCTGGAAAGCGACGTTGGTGTTAGATCCTCGCAATTTTACGCCCTGACGGTCTCAGGTATTCATTCCAATTTCGATATTTCGTGGGAGTGGATGTCGTCTGCTGACATTTCTCCGTCTGCTGTGCTGCTGCTCCCAACGCTAAGACCCCACCCTTCCTCATTTTGGCTTCAGTGCCAGGTGAGCGTGTCACTCTCGAGCTCTCAGGGGACAGAGGGACGATTGCCAGACTGCCTCCGTTCTCCGCACAGCGGCGCCCACCACTAAGGATAAGGAGGAGGAGGAGGAAGAGGAGGAGGAAGAGGAGGAGAGATGAGGAGGAGGGACCGCACTTCTTCGTTCTGGATCGGCGTCTCTTCCACAGCTCTCTGGCAAATGCACCTGCCCACTCCGGCTCTCGGGCTTCCCAGCTTCGCCTTCCCTTCTTTTTCGTCCTGGCCTGGCCCATTCGCCCGTTTTCTGCCTTTCCTCAACGTCTCCCCCCCTCCCCACTCGTGCACCTGCGCCGGGGGCTGCGTGTGCAGGCCAGCTCGGCGTTCTTGTCTGGGGTCGGGGGTCGGAAAGCTGCCCTGGGGTGCAAACATCAGTCGTTGTTAGATCGAAGTCTTGGCTGTAAAATGTACTTGGGCGCCAGCGGATATTCTGCCCGAGATACGGTAGAGGAAAACAAAATAAGTGGACATTCCCCTTCTCCACCCAACAAAAACATTGGCACGCGCCAGGAAGACTGCGGTCGAAGTGCAACTCGTTCAACCCACCGCCAACATTGATCATTGGGGGGGCATTGACAGATGAATTTGGCATGAATGTTCGCTAATGTCTTCCGAGGCCTGCACATACATACACATTCGGGATGCCAGGGTTGGTGTTTTGGGAACGCGTAAGTTTCGGGCACAGAGTTGAGGGCCCTGCGGGTGCCCCAAACCCTTGTGCTCCCCACGTTCGCCCTTCTCTCCTCCTCCCTCCTCCTACTCCTGCTCTCCCCCCATCCTCCTCCAGCGCCAGTTCGACTCAGGGGCGAGTAGATCCTGATCTTGGGCCGAGAGCGCCCCGATCTCGCTCATTCCTCCTTTCCTCCGTCCTCTTGCTGCTGCTGCTGCTGCTGCTGCTCTACTCCTCACCCCTCATCTTCTTTCCTCCACCCCTTCTCCACCAGGCCTGGGATCCAACATGGTCCGACCAGATCTAAGCCCTGCATACATACACATCAAGTCGCAGGGACATGGGCGCTGTAGGCTGGCCGCTGCTGACACTGCTGCCGACCTCGCCACCCTCGTGCCCTAACTTTTTTACCAATTGCTCCTCCTCCTCCTCCTCCTCCTCCTCCTCCTCCTCCTCCTCCTCCACGGCTGGTCTGGCTCACAGCTTGGTTCGCGCCATGCCCGGAACGAGCTCCAGGAGCTGCTCCGGCAGCTTCCGCGGGGGTCATGCCGGGCGGGCCGCCGCTATCGCACTGGCGGCATTGGCGCTGGCCAGCGCCAGGCAGCGGGAGGAAGCCAGCTGCGCCGGACGAAGCGCGGGCTCTGGCGCGGGCGTGCATGGTTGAACTTTCTCGGGGGGGCCCCCCCTCTTTGGGGCCACAGAGAGCGACCCACGGCTCGAGGTCCACACGGAATGCGGTTGGGCCGAGGGATGAGATCGAGGTCGGTTCGGGGAGGGTGCCCTGATGTTCTTCGTGTTTGTTGGATACTCCTGCGTATCCTGGGGGAGGGTACCCTCGAATGTGTTTCAGTTTGGCTGGCGCAGGGTCTCATGTTCTTGCAGGATGGTCTTCTGTCCTGCACCCCTCGTCAGAATAAATATCAACCATGTCTTACGTGGCTGAACCATTTGTGGGGAGATATTGGACAGAGTAGCGATGACTGCGAAGTACTTGTATGCGCCGCCCTCCAATGTCGGTAATCATCGAACTTCCGAGTCGTTCCCAGTCAGACCACCTTTGCCCTGGCCCCGACATTGGACGGGCGTCTATCGACATTGAAGGGCGCGCCGATATCGCAGGGGCGTGTTCGCCATTTTTGGGGTTGATTTTGACGAGGGTAGTAGGTCTGGCTGTGGTGGGTCAGGGGACCTCCGCCATGGAGATCGTTCAGTGTTGAGCGGTTCGGACGGTTGCAGAAGCCCAGGCCCACGTGGTCGAGGCAGACGCACGCCGTATCCACCTACAGCTCAAGCGATCTAAAGTGGCGGCTCGTCCGCAAGAAACCTTCCACAAGAAACCCAACCCTGAGACACCAGGACGTCCATGGATTTTGGGTGTGGGGACGTCACGCTTCCCATCGCAAAACAATCGAAACACAATACATCCAGGGCACCCTGGAGGCAAGCAGGGTATTTCTTGGCACGGGTCTCCACTGAAAAGCTACAGGTGGTGGAAACAGTGAAGCAACACGCGCGCGTATCGTATGGTTTGAACTCCCATCCCCATCCCCCCGAATGCAGTGTTGGTTTCGGATCTTCCGAGTTTGAATGTCCGAGCGGTGATGCGTAACCGTGCCAACTTTGAATTGCGGGGGAGGGGGGATTGCTGCTTATCTGTTCCCCTGAACCGCACTTTCAAGCGAGGATCTGGATTTCTTTGAGAATTTCTGGCGGATCGAGGCCCTGGTCAAGAGGACACTCTGACCAAATTGCCAGCCATCCTTGTGGAACTGGCCAGTTGAGGATCTCGATCTCTTCCGGGCTGTTCTCACATCCCATTCACACCCCTATTTTGGACGGTGTCCACCTGCACAGTCCCTTGCCAGTCCCATCCCGTGCCTAGGATTGTCGGCCACGCGCGCAGGGGGGTACGGTAGGTTCGCGTCGTGTTGACCGGCGGCGACCCCAGCGCGGGCGTTCAACGTTGAACGCCGCCGGCGACCCAGAATCGGTCGATGTTGAACGATTGGACGTTGCGGAAATGGCCGATCGTTCAAGGTTGAACGATCCAGCGCGGTGTCAGGAACCAACGCCTGGGTCGACACGACACGAACCTGCCGTATGGGGGAGGGGGGAAGGCTTCTTAGAAGCACCCCTGCTTCTCTGAAGGCGCGGGCCTTCCCTGTGGATGTAAGGCCAGCGCCTTCTAAGAAGCAGCCTCCTTCTGAGAAGCTTTCCCCCCCTCCCACTGCCCTCTGCGCGCCGCCAGGATTGGTGGGTGACTTCTCCCCGCTTGGCCATCATGGCATATGCACCGCCGACCCTGGGCCACGGACTGGTCTGGCCAGAGTCGGCGCAGGCGGATAGCTGGCCCCATCCCAGAGGCTGGTCTGGCTGCCGGCTGCGCTTGTGCGCCACGGCCCGCCGCTAGGCCTGCTGCACCGACCGTCGATCCCGCGGCACTCCCGAGGGCGCTCGGCCGCGGCGGCGGGCGGTGCCGCCGGCGTCGACGAGCTCTTCGCCGCGCTGCAGGGGGAACTGGAGAGTCGGACGCCGCTGCACGAGGAGCTGGGGCTTGTGATGGATGCTGGCCGCCGGGCCGCGGAGGACGTCGCCGTCGTTGAGATGTTTCGCGGCTTGCTCGAGTGGTTGCGCGCGCAGCCTCCGAGCACCTCGCTGGGACCGCTGTCGGCAGCTGCTCTGCGCCACCCGAAGTCGGGACGAGAGGTGATAGTGCTCGGTACGCTGCACAGCGCCGCAGGGATGGGCATCGAGCAGAACCCAGTGCCCGCTGCTGTGCGGCGTGCGATCGCGAGGCTGAAGCCCGACATCGTAGCGGTAGAGCTGGACGAGGCCCGCGGCACCCGCGAGCTGGAGGGCCTCCCGTCCTCGCTCTGGGGACGAGCACCGGTGCTGTTGCCCTCGCGGGAGCCCGGCGGCGACAACCCCTGGACCTTCGACTGGACCGGCTCGGCCAGCCTGCGCGTGGAGCGGGAGCTGGTGGACAGGGTAGTCCGCCGACTAGGACCACAGCTCCAGAGCCACGCTGGCTTGCTAGAGGCCACTCGCGAGATCTTCGCCGAGAGCGACGACAGCTGCTTGGCCATGAATGTGTTCGCGCTCCGAGAGGCGCGCGGGCGCCAGGCCAACGACTACGGCAAGGACGCGACCGCCGCCGTCGCGGCGGCCGCGAAGGCGGGTGTTCCCCTTCTGTTCTGCGATCTCCCGCAGGAGAGGACCATGGGCAAAGTGGTGCCGCTCTACAACAACGCGTGGCTTCGCGGCCGGCAGGTGCACCTGGAGTGGCTCGGGGACAGGCCCTGCGCCCTCCGTGTGGCCGAGGCCGAGGACAAGATTCTCGCCGAGCGCCTCATGTCTGGCAACGGCGGCGACTTGCCCTCCCTGGACCACGCCATGAAGCTCTGCAGCCCTGGCACAGGGCCGGGCGAGGCCGAGGTGCGCTCCGTGTGGTTGCAGAGCCGCGACGAGGCAATGGCGGCTGCCGTGGCCGATGCGCAAACGGAGGGACGTGCGCGCTCCGCGTCCGGCGGGGCGGCGAGCCTCCCCCCCGCCGAGCGCATCGTGCTGATGGTGGGGGCCTACCACGTGCAGGGCGTGGCGGGTCACCTGCGTGCCGCCCACGGCTACGAGGACGCCGCCGCGCCGCGGGCCGGCTGGCCCAGCGTGTCGCCTGGAGCCTCCAAGAGAGGTGCGCGGCGTGCGCAGCGCCCCGCACCGGGGCGAGCGGGCTTTCGCTGATGGCCGCTGGCGAGCGCGCGTGAAATTCGCGAGGTCCGCACGATGCAACGCACACGTGTCGCACCACCTCAGGTCATAATTACTGCAAATCCCACGTCACGGATCAGGAGCAGAGCTCCGCATTCCGATGGGGGATGCAGCCCATGGCTTGACCAGAGAAAGCCACGCACACACAGGCACACTCACACAGGCACGCAGGTACTGGCAGACAGACATAGGAGACGAAGAAGAGGAGGTGGAGGAGGAGGCGGAGGAGGAGGAGGAAGAGGAGGAGGAAGAGGAGGAGGAGGTGGAGAATGATTTATTGAGTAACCCGCCTGCTTCACGAAGAGCTCAACGAGGTACAAGAACCGGAGCGAGAAAAAACACCAAATAGGAGGGGGGCATCTGGTTAGGCCCATAAGCTCCACGCCAGAACTACCAAAAAGCGCCAGCAACATGACCCCGAACCCGACCAGGAAGCGTGTCACAGGAAAGCCCCACACCAAAGCCTCATCGGCCACCACCGGGATGATCTCGAAGAAGGTGGAGCACCACATCGCGATGAGTGGGCCCAGAGCCCTTGTGGAATCACCCTGGACAGCACGGTGGTCGCGAGCGCTCATCCACGTCGTGGTCGACACTCAGTTTCAGGGCAATCGTTGGACAAATCGAGGTCGAGCGCCGGCTGCCTCCCAGTGGCGCCGCTGGCTCGGCCGCGCACCATGTCTTGCCCATGGTGCACCAGGAGCCTGCGGTGGGCGAGGCGGAGCAGGCGGGGCCGCACCGACGGCCTGCGGACGCAACAAGAAACAATATAAGAAACACGAGGGCGAGGAGGGTGAGGAGGAGGCGAGAGACGAGGAGGACCAGGTGGAGGTGGTGGAGGAGAGGGCGAAGGAGGACGAAGAAGACAAGGAGGATGATAGTGAGGACAAAAAGGAGGGGGAGGAGAAGGAGAGAGGAGGAGGAGGAGGAGGAGGAGGAGGAGGAGGAGGAGGACCAGTGCAAACCCAAGACGTATCGACGATGTTGCAATAAACCCACTCTCCAAGTTTCCTCTAGGTCCCGACAAGAATTTACGGTCATTACGGGAAGTGGCCCAATGGAAGACGAACGTTTGAGAATCGGTTCTTGGCATTTCAGCGCCGTGAATCAACGTGATTGTGGCGAATTGAGATTCTTACATCGTCCCAGCACACCGTTCCTGGGACGTCAACACCGTGAATCAACGTGACGGTAGCATCATCCCCGCGACTCATGCCTGAACCCCCCAACCCCCCCAGCCGGATTTCTTTTCTTTCTTCCGCGGGGTGTCCGCCTTCGCGGCGAGTCGTAAACCCCGGGCCCCTGGCGGCGCATGGATTTGTTTCATTCTTCCGCGCGCGTATTGCCGTTGGCACCCCCGAACCCCTCCGGCTAGAGTGTACCTAGCACTCGAGTGCAATTGGCACCATCATGTGCTAGCGCACAGCTGCTCCTAGAGTGCACCTGGTCATGCAGCACAGTCTTATCGAATTGCGATTGGGGCGTTTAACTGAAGGATCGCGACTTGGGAGCACGGAAACATAATATGATCGCGATCAAGGAATACGGAGACATTATGTAATGTCGATGTCGGAAATAGGACACACAGTAGCGTGCAAGTAATACCAGTACGCTTCCCGAGCACAACTACTACTGAAGTGATGCTGCATTGCATTACAATCTGGGCTCTCGCGCGTTTCCTCCTCTGGTTGCGTTGGGGGGGTGGGGCCCGTGCGCCGGCACCCTCGCGGCTGAGAGTTCATTCGTATTCCTGAATTCGATGCGGGGTAACCCCGTGCCCGAACCCCTAGCCAAGGATGCTTTTCTTCTTTCGCGGAAGCCAAACCTGGGTTCCTCGGCGCGCTCCGAGAATTCTTTCCTTCCAGATGCCCCCCAATGGGTCCTATATTGAAGTCGCCCGGGTGATGCTCTAGCGTCCTGACAGTTGTAAAGCTTGCCAGAGCATCATTCCTGAAGCCATAGGAATCCTTGAAACTTCTGCATTCCAAGACGAGGCGCTGAGGCGAGAGCCACATTTTGAAAACGACCCGCACTCCATCCGTGAAACCGCTGCTAACCTGTAAAACGAAAAACGTACGCGGCACTAAAACGAGAGCCACATCTTGAAAACGACCCGCCCGCAATCTGCGAAGCTGCTGCAAACTTTGAAAACAAGCGTGCGCGGCGCTCGAACAAGAGCCAAATTATGCAAACGGCCCGCCCTCCATTCGTGAAGCTGCTGCAAACTTTGAAGACGTGGCGCTAGGGCGAGAATCACCTGTTGAAAACTACCAGCCCTCCATCCGTGAAACTGTTGTGAATTTGAAGCTTCTGGATCATGAATGGTGACGAAGTCTCCGACGAAACGCCCGGCCGGCCATGCCGACGCGTTTGTGGGTACGATGGGGAGTATCAGGAGTATGAGGAGGAGGAGGAGGAGGAGGAGGAGAAGGAGGAGGAGGAGGAGGCGACGGAGGCGGAGAAGGAGGATCAGGAGGACGAGGGGAGGCTGCGATCGTAATTTCTTCAGCCTTCAGGAGCCAGGAATCAGGAGGACGAGGAGGTGGACGAGTCCGTGCTATTCTTTAGTCGCAGTCCTCGTCGTTGCCGTTTCGTCGTTCCCCTCATCCCCCCCCCCCCGGGGTGGCCGGGGTGGGACACAGATACATTCGGACCGACGTATAAGATCGAGGTCGGCTCGGGGAGGGTACCCTAGTTTCTTTCTTGTTTGTTATTGTTTGTTGGATGTTCTTGTGCACCCTAGGGGGGGTACCCTTGGATGTTCTGTGCGTTCTGGCTGGCGGAGGGTCTCGTGTTCTTGAGGTATGTTCTTCTGTCCTAGGTTCGACATGGTTCGACTGTACCCCGCCCCCTGGGGGGGTCTCCTCGCCCATCGTGTTTTTCTGTTTTGTTTGCAGCTGCGGGCTCCAGTTTTATCAACTCCCCCCAACAGAGACCGCTGCCCTGGGGCGAAAGGGTGGCTGCTTCCGCACCGAACTCCGAAGCCGACAGCGACAGGGACAAAGGGGGCGAGGAGGAGGAGGAGGACGACGAGCGGGAGGCGGAGCACGAGGACGAGGAGGCGCCCGTGGCCGGCGGCTCGGGCCGCGCAGCCGTCAGGCCGTCGGCGCATTCCTGCGGGAGCACGGCTTCTCCGAGGCCGGCGGCCGGCTGGGCCCCTGCAAGGGCGATGGATCTTCGCCGTCGTCGGAGAAGTTGGAAGAGTTGGAGATGGAGGAGGAGGAGGAAGATGAGAAGGAGGAGGAGGAGGAGGAGGAGGAGGGGGGGAGGGGGATGAGGTCTGTGGAGCTACGCGCGAGGGAGGAGGAGGAGGAGGAGGAGGAGGAGGAGGGGAGGAGGAGGAGGAGACACATCTCGGTTTTTACAACTTCTTGATGCCCATCTTTTTATCAGCATTTGCTTGCAGTTGCATGTGTTGGTCACCGCGCCTGAGTCGGGTTCATTGCCAGGCCGATTTTTGTTTAATCGTGACGCTACGATCCCAGTCGATTTAATAAGCCTGCCGAGCGTCAAAAAGGAGGAGACGGAGGAAGGGACAGGACAGGGAAAAGGGACATGTGGAGGAGAAGGGGAGGGGAGGAAGAGGAGGACGAGGAGAAGGAATAGTATGCCGAGAAGGAGAAGGATGAGGAGGAGGAGGACAAGGAGAAGAGGGGAAGAGGAGACGGAGAAAGGGACAGGACAGGGATAAGGGAGATATGGAGGATGAAAGAGGGAAAGGACGAGGAGGACGAGGAGAAGGACGAAAAGGGCGAATAGGCCGAGAAGGAGAAGGAGGCGAGGAGGAGGAGGAGGAGGAGAAGGAAAAGGAGGAGGAAGAGGAGGAGGAGGAGAAGGGAAGGATAGGAGGAAGAAGAAGAAGAAGAAGGAGGAGGAGGAGGATGAGGAGGAGGAGGAGAAGGACGAGTAGGAGGAGAAGGAGGAGGAGGAGTAGGATGAGGAGGAGGAGGAGGAGGAGGAGGAGGTGGAGGAGGAGGAGGGGGAAGAAGAGATGGTATGAGACGAGTTAGGTGCGCTCGCGCCATATCCGACATCCTATCCCCTCACACACATCTCTTCACATCGCGCTGATGCTTCTCTATCCGCCGACGGGTGTCCTGGCGAGTCTGAACCCCACCGAAGGTCACCATGGTACGATGCGCAATGAGAAAAGAGGAGCTGTGCACATTGGAGAATGAGGAGGAGGGGGGATGTAGCGGATTAACAGGATGAGCGGGAGGACGAGCAGGAGGAGTAGGAGGAGGAGGAGGAGACGGAAAACGAGAGGCGGAGGAATAAGGAGGAGGACGAGGAGGAACAGCAACCTCATGAGCAGGAGTTGGAAGATCCAGGAAGAGCGGGAGCAGTACGAGGACCAGGGGTGGCAGAGGGGGAAAGGAGCGGGGAGACAACGATGAAGAACGACTTGGATCCAGAAAAGTGGCCCGCGCCGATCTGAGGGGAGAGCGCCACTCAGAACGACGCGATCGCAGCGCCGATCCTGAGATGAGGCCCACGATGCAGCGGGATCTCTACCGACCAAGGTCCCAGTGACCGCTGCCGCATGCGTCCGCGCCACCCAGCACAGCAGCGCTTCGTGGCCCCAAAGGGAGCTCCACCGAAGGCCCAAGTGCCCGCTGCCCCATGCGTACGCACCACCCAGCACATCGCTTCGTGGCCCCATAGGTACAGAGCTCTACCGAAGGCCCCAGTGGCCGCGGCCGCTTGCGTCCGCGCCACCCAGTGCAGCGCTTCGTGGCCCCGTTGGGACCTCCACCGAAGGCCCCGGTGGCCGCGGCCGCATGCGCCCGCGCCACCCAGTGCAGCGCCTCGTGGCCCCGTAGGGAGCCCCACCGAAAGCGGTGCCCACAGCGCGGCACTCGCAACTGCACATGGTTGGGTCCCGCGCTGGGATAAGGTTCTTCGAGGAACTTATGCTGGCGCGGGGCCGTTTCGCTTCGTTTCGTCATGCTTCCAACGAGGTCTGCGGAGTGCGTTTCGTATTTCGTCATGTCGTCTCGCTGAATGTCGGCATCGTTTCGTTCGTTTTGCACCCGCATCGTGTTTAAATGTTCGTTTGGAATGTTCGGATTCGTTGTGTCTTTCGTTCTAAACGCAAGCGCGTATCAAACCTCGTTGTGGCGTGTCCTTGGTTTAGACCTTGCCAAGCCGGGAGCTCGCGGCCTCAGAATGCCGGAACCCCAGTTTCGCGTTAGTGTTCCGCAACCACGGTGTTGCCGCTTCTGGCCTGGCATCGCTCGGACGTGTGCCCTTTTCTTTTCCGTCGGCGAGGACCACCGAGGAGCAGCTTGGACCATCTTGCGAAAGAAAAGCGCGCACGACACCGAAGCATGCACGGGGAGTGGACGTCCGAGCCATGGCGAGCGGAAGAGGGCGAGGAGGGCGCGCCCCGCGCGGCCTCCCAGTCGGGCGGCGTGGGGCCGCAGGTGAACGCGGGGGTCCTGGTCGTCACGGCGGGGTGCTGCGGGTCGCCCGCCGCGCGCGCCGCTCTGCGGATGGGGTGGGCACCAGAGTCTCGGCATCGCTCGGACGTGTGCAGTCTTCCCTTGGCGAGGGCCAGCGAGGAGCATCTCGGATCATCTTGCGAAGAACAAGCGCACGAGGCTGAACACTGCACGGGGAACGGACGTCCGAGCGATGGCGAGGAGCGGAAGTTGAACCTCCCACGTTGGAGGTTTAGGGCCGTCTTCGCGCCCTTGTGCGCCTCCCTCCCCTTTCTATCTTCTCTCCACGGGCAGCCGCGCATAGGAGGTTATAGGCAGCCAAGCTGTCCATCCCAGCCAGCATGCGCAGTTTCACGAGCATGTGAGCGGATGGGCCTGCCTGGCGTGCGGCAGCATTAGTACGGGTACGGGATGCATGATCAGAAAGGCAGAAATATAGCCAAGCCTTGCGTATTTGTCTTGCTGAAATGGGCTGAAGGCAGGTTCATCGAGGCTCGATGACCTGATCAAAGGCAGGCGGCCTGGACAGTCGTCACAGGCCAAAGCTTTCAACGCAGCGTTGAAGTCGAGGTAAGGCTAGCATCACTACGCACGCGCGCAGCTCGGTGAACATCTCCCCTCCTCGGCTTTCCCCCATCGAGACTTGTTGCTTCACTGCAGTCCTCGGCCTCAGCGTCTTCAGGCAACTGCTAGAGAGTACATGGCTACGCATGGTATGTTCCAGCGCATGATGTCGGCACATGTTCCTTTGAGCAAATTCGCAAACTATATAGTAACGTTTAAGCGGTTGTGAGCTTCAGTTTTAGCGGGTCCATTGCATGCACTTCCCCTCCGCCCCGCAGTGGCCCGCAGGCGCAGGCAGAGGCGCCTAACGTATCCCCTCCACGTAGCAGCTGCGGCTGCTGATGGCGAGATGGTGACCTTTCTCCTTCAGGAAGCGCCTCTCCCGCCAGCGAGGGACCGTCAGGACTCAATGGTAGGCAGAGGCATGCAGGACAGAAAGTTCACACCCTTGCCGCACAAGTCCCTTTTTGTATTTCTCTCTCTCTCTCTCTCATGCCTCTCTCTATCTCTATCTCTATGTATGTGTCTGTATGTTATGTGTATATTCCTCTTCCTATATTTTTACAAGCCCGGGCGGCCGCAAAACCCCGCACCCCCCCCCCCCCCCAAACCGGACTCCAGGGATCCTGGGGCTTTGGGACCCTCCGGACGCCCATTGAAGCGGTCCCGAGTGCCTCAAGAGCGCTCCAAGACAGGCACAAAGCGCTCCAAGACGCCAAAGATAGCCCCAAGACAGCCTCAGGAGCCCCCAAGACGCCCCAAGCGGCCCCAAAGAAGCCTCCCAAGACGGCCCCGGGAGGCCGAAATGGTCAATTTTCCAATGTGTTTTTCGATGTTTTCTGCTTTCTCGCCATTTTAGCTTTCCGACGCTCCAAGACAGAACTAGAGGCCCTCAAGAGCGCCCCAAGATGGCCCGGGGGGCCCCCAAAACGGCCCCAACACGGCCCCAAGACGGCTCTGGAGCGCCCCGAAACAGCCCAAGAGGCGCCCAAGAAGGCCCAAGAGGGCCCCGAGAAAGCTTCAAACGAGCCCCCACAGGGCGATCAAAAGTTCAAACATCTAACTTTCCGCCCCAAGTGGGCCCCAGGAGGCCCCAGGAGGGCCCCAAGAGGCCCCAAGAGGCTTCCAAAGGCCCCGAGGACTCCCAAAAAGAACCCACGAGGCCCCAAAATGGCTCTCCAAAAGGCAGCCAAAACGGCCCCCCAAGAGGCTTCAAAACTGCTCAATCGCCCCACTTGACCGCCACCTCCGGAACGGCTTCGCTGCGCTGCTCCGTTGTTTGCCAGACAGTGGCATCCCACGCAAAACACAAAATGCTTGAAATCCCGGGTTCGCAACCAAATTCCCGGGAAATCGGCTGCGAACCCGGGATTCGGCACATTTCCCCGGAATTCGGTAGATGTCCTGAGCATTTCCAGGATCCGGTACGTTGCCTGCATGCTTGCTGCCCTATGCCCTATCGCATCCCAGAATAATCGTTCCATGGAGGTTTCACGAGGGCCCTTCCAAGTTATTAAGGAAACATTGTTTTCCACACGTGTTCGCACACATGCATCCGTAGCCGTTGGCTTACATTTTTAAGCTGTCGCATACGGCACATCCTCGATGTCTGTATTCGCTTGCTCCGATTGTGGCGAGACCCTGCCTGCAGAATCATTCTCCACAACACAACTTCAGCAGTCCAATCGGGCTTGCAAGTCGTGTGCCAGTCGACGGGAAACACAGTCACGGTCAGCCCCCCAACACAAAGACTATCAATGCACTCGTTGCGGGGACATGCGCGATCGAACTCACTTCAGCCCTTGCCAGCTGCACCGATCCACTCGGACGTGCAAGGCGTGCGCCACTGACGGCCGTCCGAAGCAAGACCTCTTCTCCTGCACGCGCTGCGGAGAGCTCTGGGACAGGACCCACTTCGACGCGAGGCACCTCAAAGCACGCAGCACTACGCGGGTTTGCAATTCCTGCAATGCGTGCCTTACCTTACCTTACCTCATGATATTCCTCCCTTCGCCGCGCCTCCCCAAATCGTCCTCCACTTCTTTCCCGCCCCTTCTGTCCGACGTTTTGTCTTTCCGGAGCCTTCGCGGCCGCTCTCATCGCCGCTGATCGGTCCGCTGGGACATTCTCATGGAGTCCCAGTGGCGCGCGGACCAGCAGAGCGAGGGCGCGAGCAAGTGAGGTGCAGGTCCGGGAACTGGGCGCGAACCGGCCGCGGTTCAAAGACCGTGGAAGGCCGCGCTAGACGCCAACGCGCGCAAGGGTTGAAGGACCAAGGTGCATGGCGCGAAGCGCCAATGCAGTCTTGTATATATATATATATATATATATATATATATTTGAGCAGCCTTCTCCCAGCACCCACCGATCGTCTTCTTTTCTTTTGACTGTGTTCCTCTCTCCTCTTCCTCTTTGTTCGTTTCCTGCTCCTCCTCCTCCTCCTCCTCCTCCTATTCCTCCTGGTTTGCGTTATCCTCCTGATCCTCCTCTGCCTTTTACATCTCTTCCTCCTCTTCCTGCTACTGCGGACCCTCCTTCTGCTGCTGTTTCCCCCCCCCTGCTCCATTCTTTGTGCTCGTCTGCTCCTCCTCCTCCTCCTCTTCCTCCTCCTCCTCTTCCTCTTCCTCCTTCTTCTCCTCCTCCTCCTCCTCCTTCTCCTCCTCCTCCCCCTCCTCCTCCCTCTCCCCATGCATGAAAGGACCTGGGCTATAATTGTCCTGGGTAGCTCCTAGCCATTGTCTCTCAGGCAGAGGATCTTTGCGCGAGTGCCTATTGCAGGTTGGCTTGTGTGGCGTTCCGGGTTTGCCTGTCAGTTTCCTGGTACGCAGCATAATTGTATATACAGATCTATCTGCATGTATACATACATGCATGTTTACATGCATACGTACATACAAACAAACATACATACATAAATGCACGCATGCATACACACATACAATCATACAAGCTTGCGTACCTACCTGCCTACCTACCTACCTACCTACCTACCGACCGACCGACCGACCGACCGACCGACCGACCTACCGACCTACCGACCTACCTACCTACCTACCTACATACATACATACATACATATGTATATCTATATATACACGTGTATCTTCAAGATTGCATTGGCGTCTCGCGCCATGTATTTTGGCACTTGAAGTTTGGCACGCCGGCGGAATGGCAGGAAGGTCAAACAGACAATGTAGCGATGATTCCGTGTTGCCTTTTCCGGCATCGCCGTTATAATAATGTTTTTCGTTATCCGTCCTCCATGTTTTTTGTTTTTCATTCTCGCCCTACCTTGCGAATTCTCTCCCATTATCCTCAGCTCTTTTTGCGGAGGCTCCTCGTTGGAGAGCCTCTGGGGGCCTCACGGAAGTTCTCAGGCTTTCTTAAGGCTTTTTGGAGGCCTCCTGGACATCTTCTGGTGGCATCTGGGGGCTTCCTCGGGCCACCTTGCCTCCAACCGCGGTCTCCCTGATCGACCAGGTCACGATTTGGAATGGTTCGGAGGGTGTTTGGGGGCCATTTTGGGCCGTCATGGGGCTTTCTCAGGCAATCTTGGAACCCTGTTGTGCCGCCTTGGGGCTCTCTTGGATTGCCTGGAAGCCCTTTCGGATGGTTTGGGGGCGATTTTCGAGCCTCCCAAGCGGCCTCGGACGCCCAGAAGACCGAAGAACAGGGCATCCCCAAAATCATGCAAAACCCATGGGGAAGCAATGTTTTTCTGCGTTTTGGAAGCCTTTTCTTTGGGTCGTTTTCTGGCGTCTGGTGGGTGTCAGGAGCCTCTTGGGGCCCTCGGGGGGGTGTTCGGCCGCCCTTCTGACCGATCTGGGCCGTTGCCTCGGCCCAGGGTTTCCAGGAGCTCTGAAACGCCTGGGGCGTCCAGGGGGTCCCCGGGGCCACGAATCCGGGGGTCCAGAGGGTCCGGGGGGCCCAGGATTCGGGGGGTCCGATTTCGGAGGGGTCCCGTTTAATAGACATATATGAATAGGAATAGAGGGAGAGAGAGACAAGAGAGAGAGAGAGAGAGCGATACATTATGTGTATATATATATATGTATAGCATACACACATAAAGGTTTTCCTATATGGTGTGTACAGCTATAACGTTTGCGCGTCGAATTTAGCTTTGTTTCCCGAGTGCGCACGACATTCCGAGGGGAGTCCAGACCTCAAGATGCAGCTGTCAGTCGGCCCGAGCTCGACGTTCGCTGTCGATCATGAAAACATGCACGTGTGTATGTATGTTGTCTGCTTGTTTGTTTCTCCGCTACGTGCATATGGATCCTGCTATCGTGTTCGTGTGTTTTCCTGGTGCGGTTATTTTTGGTCCCCGTCTTGCCTTTGTGTTTTCCCCTCACCTGCTCCTCGCGTTGCGTTCTGTCCTTTGTCTTCCTCTCTCGTTTCTCCCCTTCGCTGCTTTTGCTCATTGGCCTGCCCTCGCGATGCATTGGGCGCTGGGCATGTGCCCGCTCGCGGCGTACGGGGGGAAGTCGGCGAGTCGAGTTTTCGGCCCGGGTATTTTTCCGCAGCGCCTCGGTCATGTGCTTATTGTTTTCTCTGTGCACCGCTGTTCATACAGTCGGCCCGGATTAGTAGGTCGACCCTGCCAGCTTAAGGGTACCCTTGTGTCTTGTGCTTCGCGACACGTGCCTTCTTACACTCCTATGGCGATGCGGCCCTCGGAAGGGTCTTGTGTCCTCTCGCGTGTCGTGTCTAATCAAGGCCGACTGTATCGCTGGCCCCCTTCTGCCGCGCACCCCGCGGAATGTGCACGACTGCTGACCCGTCTGCAAAGATGGTGCGCCGCAGCCAGGAAACACAGACTCTCCGTCCCTTCTCTTTCCCCGTGTGCCTCCTCGTCCCTTTCCGTCCCTTTCCGTCGCCGACTGGCGAATCAGTTGTTGTTCTGCACGTTCTGCTCGTGGTGTCGCGCGGTGGGGTCGCAACGCAGGGAAGCTCAAAGGTGTTTGGGTAGTTGGGTATCGCCACGTATGGAGCACGTCGATGTTTGCAATTCTGGTGCGCAGAAGGGCTCTCATTATCAAAGGGATACCAAGATATAGTCGTATTTGCGGGCCTTTCGTTGATAGCAACGATGCGCCGCTGAATGCAACATGCAAAGCATTACCTATTGACATGCAGTGCGATCTGCGCGTGCCCACCTGCACTGCCGCTCTTTCTGCAACTGCGCTGGGGGGGGATGGGGGGCGAGTGGGCTGTAGAAAGCGCTCGCGCTCGTGCGCATCTTTTCTGGGCCTTGCACGTTGCCCAGCGCGCACAGGAAGGGGCAGACCTGCACGCCACGGATGCCGCCGGAAGGACGCCCCTCGAGGCGCGCAGAGGGGTATACTGGGACAAGGCTTGATGATTATGATGACGGCGATGATCAGGGTGATGATGATGTCATGCTAATGAGGGCGGTGATGTGGGTGATGATGATTGTGTTCATGCTGAATGCTATGCTTCGCCGCGTTCGTGCGCTCACCACGACCACTATACGAAAATAAAGAGGCCAGGTGTGGGTTCCGCGACTCAGAAAGGATGGCCAGGGAGGCCAGGGCCAGGGGTGGGCCCCGCGGCCCAGGAAGGAGAACCCCAAATAATGCCCCACAGGAGGCCAAGACAACCCCAAGACGGCCCATATAAGGTCCATGCTAGCTCCTTAAGAAGTGTAGATGACATGTAGACGAAATGTGAGACATGTGACGGTCTTCTTCTTCCTCCTCCTCCTCCGTAGCTGTTTGGGCTCAATATGCCTTTGTCCCGCGGGCAGAGAGTGGACACCTCTAGTCCGAGGCCAGAGCAGGAAGATTGCGTGAGCTCCTGCTGGGGCAACGACTCGCCTCTCGCACCAGCACAGGCCCGCGCGGGTAAACCGAGGCATCTCCAGCTCCTGCGCGGGCCTGTGCTCAGATGGGGCCCGTGCGGGTCGACGCTGCCGTGGATGGGGATGGGGGCGCTGCTGCCGGCAGGGATGGCGTGCGTCGCGATTCCTCTTCGTCCTCCCTCGACCAAAAGGGAGTTGCGACAATTTCGTGTCTTTTCTCACGCATGTACATTGGCATTTCCGTTAGCATCTTGGCCCAGAGCGCTCAGCACGCGAGGCCGTTCTTGGGTTGGCAGAGCCTCAGGGGGCCAGAACATACCCGTGTCACGAAGCATCACCGCTTCAGCAAGAACAGTGCATACATCATCATCATCATCATCATCATCACCATCATCAGCATCAGCATCAGCATCAGCATCATCATCAGCATCATCATCATCACCATCACCATCACCATCACCGTCACCATCACCATCACCATCACCATCACCATCATCATCATCATCATCATCATCAGTATCATCATCATCATCATCATCATCATCATCATCATCATCATCATCATCATCATCATCATCATCATCATCATCATCATCATCATCATCATCGTCATCGTCATCGTCATCGTCATCGTCATCGTCATCGTCATCGTCATCATCATCAACCTCAACATCAGCATCATCATCATCATCATGTTTCTCCTCGTCCTCCCGCGACCAGTCGGGGAGTGCCGAGCGGCGCCGCCGCAAGCGCCAAGAGCGCCGGGCCCGCGGGCGTGCCAGAGCACAGGAGGCGGGATGTGAGGCGGCCTGGCGGCCAGCGCTGGCGGCAGCTCAGCAGCAGCAGCAGCAGCAGCAGCAGCAGCAGCAGCAGCAGCAGCAGCAGCAGCAGCTCGAGGCCTTCGTGGCGTTGGATGCCGCCTGCCCCACGCTGCCGTCGCCGACCCCTGCCGGTGCTGTGCCACACGACTCATGGGCTGCTGCAGCTGCGGGCCTGGGCGCTGCGCCCTTGGTACCTGGGGCTCCGAGATCGGCTCCTGGCACGCCTATCAGAGGTCTCGCCACGCCAGTGCCGAAGAAGAAAGAGGAGGACGACAATGATGAGAATGAGGATGTGCCAGTGGAGCCCGCAGCCACCATCGAGGACCTCCGCAAATCGCTCTTTGAGACGGCGCGCTGCAGCCAGGACCGCCTCTTTCGCAAGATGGACAAGAGCCTGGGGGGCATCCGGCGGGCTCAGGAGCGTCGCGCGGGGAAGGCCGAGAGAGCCCAGCAGCAGCAGGCTGACAACATCAAGTGGTGGATGACGAGATGCGCAGAAGGCAATTGGAGACAGACAAGATGCTAGCGAAACACTCTGCCGACCTGGCGCAGATGCAGCGAGAGCTCGACATGGTGGCAGCGGGTGCCCCGCAGCCGCATGAGGCTGGATCAGCCTGGAGCCACGAGATCCACCGCGCGGTGCTGGTCCTCACCTCCAAGTGCCAGCTCATGCGCGCGGCGGTGGCGCAGGCCATGGCCCCCGTGCTGGCCGACGCGCAGCTGGCTGATGTCTCTCGGGCTCAGGGAGAGGACCTGGGACAGCGCTTCGCGGTCAGGATGGCGGGGGATGTGGGCGTCGCTGAGTGTCGTGTCCGCAAGCTCGCGGTCTCTCTCCGCGGCGGCAGCCCCGGTGGTGCCCGGCGCCAGGTCTCGGCCACGATCCCGACTGGCCACGACGCGCAGCTTTCCCTCAGCAGAGGCAAGACCTCCTGCCAGGTGCCTTGCGAGATCACGCTCAAGAAGATGCGCCGCGCTCTCGAGGAGGGCCTCTCGATGCGCATCTCTGCTGACCCTGTCGGTCTTGACCAGCTGGAGGGCGACCTCTCCATGGCGTGGCAGCCGCTGGTCAAGATCACGATCGAGATGCCTGGTGCCCCACCCGCTGTCCAATGAAATTCTGCCTATCTCCGCCGTCTCCTACTCCTTCGCGATCAGCTTGGGCGCCTCGTAGAGCCAGTCCTGGCTCCGTCTACAGCGGAGTGGCATCTTTGACAAGGCTGCTGCCCGTTGGGGCTGCCGCCGACGAAATGGGGGTGCTGCTGTACCTGGGGAAGAACAAATTTCGGGCTGTGGGCGAGGGTGCGAAGCTTGTCCTCACTGCGGCCACGTAGAGTGCGCGGGCTTTGTGCCACAATCGTGTTGGCAAGGCGAGGGCCAGGGCATCCTTCCTGCCAAGTTTTGGAAACGCGGCTCGATCATCATGGGCCTCCAGGAGGTGCACGGGTCAGAGGTCCGTCTGTCGGAATGAATGAAGCACGCGGGCATCCGAGCACGAGTCTTCACGTAGTTCTGCGGGGGGAACGCGAGGACTCTGGAGGGCTTGCCACACGCTTCCCTATTCTTCGGGCAGATGATGCAGATGGTGCGTTGCGGGACAAGTCAATGCTGGTGCCTGGCAGGGCCTTGCGCATTCTTATTCGGTTCAGTGATGGCGCAGGGAGTTTACACATAAACACAATTATTCATTGGAACATTCACAACCATGGATTGGATCGTGACCCCCAGATGGCTCTTGCGTCGGACCTGATTGAGGCGAAGCCGGGCCCCGTTGCGAATGCCGTGCTCATCGTGGGTGACTTCAACTTCGGCGATGAGCTGCAACGCTGCCATTTGGGCGATGAAGGCCCCCCGCGATCGATGGCGACGGCGCGGCAGCGGCAGGAGCAACGATGGCAGCGATGCCTTGGGGGCTCAGTGGACATGGTGGCTCCGAGGGCGACTTGCGCGCTGGTCTACCGATCGCGACAAGGATCGACCGCGTCTTCCTGGGTGACCCAGTCTGGCGGGTGGCGCAGCGCTATCTGGTTGGCGCAGCGTCGCCGACAGTGCGAGGTGTTGGGCGAACCTGAGGAGACGTACAAGCACGGCATCGGCGACCGTGCCTTTGCTTTGATCACGCGGACGCGGCGCCCGCTGCGCCCCAGAGATCCTTTCCGGCCTGCCCCGATCCACCGTGACATCATCAGCTCACTGGCGTTCAAGGAAAGATTGGCTCAGTACGTTGCGGTGCCTAGCCTTTCCTCGCGCGCGCCGCCTGACATCCACCGGGCGTGAACAGGGGCCATGCAGGCGGCGGCGGCGGCGGAGGCGCGCGATGCGTTGCTGCTGGGCATGGCGCGGTCGAAACGATGCACGGCGATGATAATTATAAGACAGTTGGCGCGCGTGGTGGTGCGCAGCCACGTCTCGCTGGCGACGCCGTTCCATCTCCATCGCCCTCGGTTGCATGGGATGCTGGGCGTTGGCGCAATGAGAGGCCTTGCGACGCTGAGAAGCAATGCGGGGTTCCACGGGCGCATCGCGACGGCGCAGCGCAGCGAGACCAGGGCCGCGAATGGGGAGGCCCAGGCCGAGCTGGAGGCGGGGGACGAGCACCTTCGCGTCTCTGGCCGCCGACGGCTCCTCAGCCAGCGCCGCGCCCTCCGACGGCGGTTCTTCTTCGGCGGCATCTCGCGGCGGCGGCGCTCCATGATGGCCAGCTCGTCTCGTCGACTGCGGAGGTCCACGAGGCGCCAGCGAACCACTTGGGCGAGGTCTTTTGCCCATCCACGATCGCCGAGAGGAAGACGGCGACGATGGCGACGGGCGGCGACGAGGCTGTCTCCAGAGAGCAGCTGCGCCGCGCGCGCGCGCGACGCCAAGGCCTTCCTCGCAAAGTACAGCATGAAACAGGTAGACTTGTTTTCGCTCGCTCCCCCCTCGCTCTGGAGCGTCGAGGAGGCCCTGCGTCGCGCTTTCCCTGCAGCGCCAGGCGTGGATGGCCTTCCTGCCCTGGCTTGGCTGATGTACTCGGCGGGCCGCGGCGGGCCCGTGGCGGCGGCAAGATGGCCAGCGATGGGCCGCCCCGGGCGCAGAGCACTCGACGCGATCATTTCGAATTTTCCGCCGAAGAAGGCGCTTGGCGATGATGGCCTGGAGGTGGTCTGGAAGCCGAGCGAGACGCGACCGCTCATGCTTCGCCCCACGGGCCCGAAGGTCATGTCCCCGGCAGTCAACTTCGAACTCGGGAGCGCGATGGGCCGTGGAGCATCAAAGGCCTAACGTGGCTTCATCTCGGGGCGGGGCTTCGAACCTGGCAGAGCTTGACGCCGTGCCCCGAGTGGCCTCCACGTGCGCGCTAGAGCGCGCCAGTGGATGGGAGCTGCCTGCCCGCCTCAGCTTCGACTTCGCACGCGCGGCCCCGTCGCTCCTCCACGGCTGGATGTGGTGGGCGCTCGAGGCGTGGCAGCTGCCGTCTGGCATGGAGCTCCTGCTGCGGGGGCCATATGCACATGTGGAGGCGGTCGAGGCGGGTCCTTGCCATGCCGTTATCTTTGTGATCCTCCGCTGCATCTTGCAGGGGGGCCCCCTCTCGGGCTCCATGTTCACGATTGGAGTGCAGCCGTTTGCGAAGGCGCACAGGCAGCAGCTGGAGGCCAAAGCCCAAGGCTTGACGCGATGGTGCGCTGACTACATCCAGGCCCTCGCGTTCGTTCGGCAAGAATGGGCCCCGGGCCCTTGCGCGAATCTTCCGCCTGGCGGGGCGGCTTCCTGGGCTCCTGCTCCAGCCCGAGAAGCGCGCGGCCGCGCCGCTCTGGGCCCCCTTCTCGGCGGAGGTTGAGAAGATGATGAGATAGTGCCTGGGGGGGCTGCCCAGCTGGGGTGCCTTCGGCGCGGCGCCGCGCGTCGAGCTGCAACGAGCTGCTGGGCTGCCTCGTTGGCCAATATTGGCCCTGGCGCGATGCTGGAGGTCCAATGGGCGGCCTCGCCACTGGACATGACGGCCGCCTTCTTCGAGCATGGTCGACGATGCCAGCCCGTGCTGTCATGCAAGGCGCAGCTCTGGCCGATGCCGCGGCGCACGATCGCGGACGAGCGCTTCCTCCTTCGTCATCTTGCTCGATGCCTGGGAAGCCTCTTCAAGATGAGCTCGTTCTTTGACACGGAGGTGCTGGGAGGACCCCGATGCGTGCCGACGGTGGGCGACCTCGCTGCGTCTCTCATGCGCGCGGCCCCGGCGACGTTGAAGTCGTGGCGGCAGGCGGAGAGCCGCGTGCATGAGGTGGCCCAGCGCAGGCTGCCGCTCGCGAGAAGCCTCGAGGGTCAGCCCTGGCCTGCTTGAGGCGTCTGCCCCTGCCGTCTCGCTCGCCCGCGCTGCGGAGGCAGGGTGCGAGCTGCTCGAAAGGAGCGGCGCCCTCCTCTTCTCTCGTCTCCTCGGAGCGGGGCGGGCGGTGGGAGGATGGGAGGCGGAGACGTGTCCAGCGTGAGTTTTGGAAATGCCTGCGGGCCTCCGGGGATGGGAATGTTCGGAGTTTGGTCCAGGAGAGGCCCCCGAAATGGTTCGGAGCTTCCCCTCTGGAGGCTGCCGCGGTGGCTGGGAATGAGGTAGAGGAGGTCCCCCGGTGTGCCCCCCCGAACTGGCGTTGTGCGTGCATCAAGACCTGGCTCGGGGTCTGGGTTACAGCTACTCGTCTCCAGAATGTGGACCCGCGATGCTGCTTGGGATGCGATGCTCCCGTCAGCTTGCAACATTCGCTTGCCATTTCGAGAGCTGTTGAAGATGGCCCCTGGCCACCCTCTCCCGGTTGAGCCTCTCGTCGCCCTCGCCCTCGTCGAACCGTCGCTGGACTCGGCTCGAGGTGTGGCGCTGACGTTCCACCTGCATCGTCTTCTTCACCAGTAGAGACGAGCGGCCATCAGCAGGTCGTTCCCCCTCCCGACCGCTCGCTCGAGCGCCAAGGCCGCGAGGCAGGCTGTTGACCTCCCCTCCGGAAGTAGCTCTACCGCTCATTCACGCCGCGCTGCAAGGTAAGGTTATGAGCCTTTCTTGAGGACGCTCCACCTCTTCCTCCTTCTCCTCCTCCTCTTCCTCCTCTTCCTCCTCCTCCCTCTCCTCCTCCTTCTCCTCCTTCTCCTCCTCGTCTTCCTCCTCTTCTTCCTCGTCGTCACAGCGCCCACGCTGTGCCTCCTCCAACCTTGTCCTCACCGTCATCGTCGTCGCCATCGCCATCGAAATCACCATCGTCATCAACATCAGCAGCAGCATCAGCATCAGCATCAACATCATCTACATCAACACCATACTCCTCATGTTCATCCTCATAATCATCACCATCAGCAGCATCATCATCATACTCATCATCATCATCACCATCATCATCACTATCATCATCATCATCATCATCATCATCATCATCATCATCATCATCATCATCATCATCATCATCATCAGCAGCATCATCATGGCCGTCCTCATCCTCATCATTTCCACCATCATCATCAGCATCACCCTCAGCATCGTCGATATCATGATCATCACCATGAGTAGTATCACCACCATCATCATCACCATCGTCGTCGCCATTGTAGTCGTCATCATGTTCGTCATGATGATCACCACCATCATCATCAGCAACAGCATCATCGTCATTTTATCGCCATCGTCACCCTTACTATCATCAGCATCATCATCACCATCACCATCACCATCATCGCCATCATCACCATCGTTATGATCATCATCGACATCATCATCATCATCATCATCATCATCATCATCATCATCATCATCATCATCATCATCATCATCATCATCATCATCATCATTTAGAGCATCACCATCATCGTGATCACCATCATTACAAACATCATCATACTCATCCTAAGCATCATCATCATCAGCATCATCATCACCCGCATCATCGCCATCGTCATCATCAGCATCAGCATAATCATCATCAGTATCAACATCATCATCAGCAGAAGCATTACCATCATCATCGTCGTCGTCATCATCATCGTTGCCATCATCATATGTCGCTTCTCTCCTCTTTCTCTTCGTCTCCCTCTTCCTCTTCCTCATCCTTTGTCTCATCCTCATCCTCATCGTACTCATCAGGGTACGTTCAAGCTTGGGCCCGAACCTCCGAGCTCCCGAAGATAAATACCCCCGAAGGCTCTCCGTGGGGTCCGCTTGGCGGGCTCTCGGGGTCATCTTGGGTGCTTCTTTGGCCGTCTTGCGGTACTCTTGAACCGTGCTGGTGCCTGAGGGATCCGTCGAGGCCTCATGGGGCGATCCGAGAGGCGTCCGGGGCCGTCTGGGGATACGGAACAGCTAAAATGCACCTCATGTCAAAACTCACAGACAATCCGCGATGGTGTTTTGGAGAGATGCCCAGACGCCCCCCAAAGAGGCCCAGGCTCTCGCTGTCTCTCGCTGTCTCTCGCTGTCTCTCACTCACTCTCTCTCTCTCTCTCTTTCTTTCCGTCCGTCGCTCTCCTTCAGATCATCCCGTCACTGTCCCAGGGTTGTAGGTCAGAGGCGTGTTGGAAGCACCGTGTGATCTATCGGGATGCCTCTCGGCGTGCTTGTGGAAGCCCCATGAAGCCCCATGGGAGCTTGACGGGAGCGTCTTGGAAGGTCTTGGGGGCGCTTCGTGGGGCCTCTCGGGGGCGTCTGAGGGGCCGAGGCCATGCAACCACCAGCCACTGGCTCGCCTGGTCCGCGCCCCACGCGGAAGGGCCATGGAGGGCCACGCGGCCACGCGCAATTGAGGATTCTTTCTCTCCCTCTCTCTCTCTCTCTGTCTGTCTGTCTGTCTGTCTGTCTGTCTGGCTGTCTGTCTGTCTGTCTGTCTGTCTGTCTGTCTGTCTTTGTCTGTCTTTGTCTGTCTTTGTCTGTCTTTGTCTGTCTTTGTCTGTCTTTGTCTGTCTTTGTCTGTCTGTCTTTGTCTGTCTGTCTGTCTGGCTGTCTGTCTGTCTGTCTGTCTTTCTGTCTGTCTGTCTGTCTTTGTCTGTCTTTGTCTGTCTTTGTCTGTCTTTCTCTGTCTGTCTTTGTCTGTCTGTCTGTCTGTCTGTCTGTCTGTCTGTCTGTCTTTCTGTCTGTGTGTCTGTCTGTCTGTTTCTGTCTGTCTTTGTCTGTCTTCGTCTGTCTTTGTCTGTCCCCGCGTGGACCTCGTGCGTGTGGGTCTGGTGCCAAAAAAGAGAGAGAGAGAGAGAGAGAGAGAGAGCGAGAGACAGACAGACAGACAGACAGACAGACAGACAGACAGACAGACAGACAGACAGACAGACAGACAGACAGACAGACAGACAGACAGACAGACAGACAGACAGACAGACAGACGACGCACACCACACGCGAGGACCCCGAGGGGACGCGAGACCAGGACTTCTGATCGCAGAGCCGAAACAGAACAACTGGCAATTCTCCCCATGGGTCCTCACGCACGGGGGCCGCCGGGCCACGAGCCGCCGAATCGATTGCTGGACCCGAGTCTGACTCGGGAGGGCCACGGAGGGCTGCCAGGCCAAGGGCACTTGTCAGGGGCAACGATAAGGGGGGGATAGGCATAGGGGGGATGCATCGACCCCCAATCGCCCATCGATCGCCCACAGGGCTCTGATAGCCCCACCCCGCCCAGGAAGGTTCGGATTCGCCATCGGGGGCCTGTCGCCGATCTATCGGCGAAGTGTCGCCGATTCCAGGTCGACGGTTCCCCCCTAATCATGCCAGTCCCCCCTTATCGTGGCCCCTCAACCTGGCATCTTGAATCCCGCGCCCTTGCGCGCGAGGGCCCTTGGCCAGAGGCCACGAGCCCGTGAGCCGCCGAGTGCTCTCTGGGCCCCTTCTGGGGGCACCTGTGAGGCCACGGGGCCTCGAGCGACCTCGTCGCCTTCGGGGGCTCCCCCCCCCCCCCTGCGCACGAGATCCCACGGCCAGGAAGCCACGGGCCTACGGCTGAAGGAGAAAGCTGTGCATCAACAGCGGTCCGACGACAAAGAACCGAAGTCCCCCCCGCTCCACCCCCCGCCTTCACACTGGGATGCATTGCGATCGAGATCTTGGGTGCAGATTTTTTCTAGCCGCTCATCTCCCGGACCAATTGCTCAATATTAAGGCCGGTGGGGCGGGGGGGTGTTCGGAATGGTCCCCCAACCCTTGATGTAAAGTCTTTTCCTTCAACGGTAGGAGTAACCGAGTACTCTCCGGGGCTCACCCCACACGCGTCGCCGTCGTCGTTGCCGTCGTCGTCGTTTTCGTCGTGTTCGTCGTCGTTTTTGTCGTCTTCGTCGTCGTCTTCGTCGTCGTCGTTTTCGTCGTCGTTTTCGTCGTCGTCTTCGTCGTCGTCTTCGTCGTCGTTTTCGTCGTCGTCGTCGAGGTCAGTCGAGGTCAGCGCGAAGCCGCGGAGCCACGAGCAGCCGAGCCGCTTCCCTGGGCGGGCCGTCTCTCGGCCTGGAGGCCCCCGCGGGCCAGAAGGGTCCCCCTCTTTCGCCAGCAGAGCGCGCGACGGCGGGAGCGCCGGCGGGAGCGCCTGGGCTTATGATGTTCCAACCTGCTTTAGCCTTGGCCACCAGACAGAATTACGAGCACCAAGAAAATACCGAAACTTGAGGGTCTTCACGTGTCGAGCCCTGGGAGGCGATACTCGTTCGACACTGTTTCGATACTTTCCTGGGTGCTCGAAATTATTTCCGGGATGTGGTCCCCAAGTACGATGGGAGCAACATAAGCCAGGGCACGTGGACCTTGCCCTCAAGCCGGGCACGTCCCTCTACAGGAGGAATGTTCAAATATAGACGACAAAAAATAGTCCGGGGACGTTTTTGTTTAATCATATTGATTATTGTTGATCATTGTTTGACTGTTTCTTTACGTTTCGTCCTAATCCGCCTGAAGGAGGACATGCCCGACCTAAACTTGCCCTTTTACGGGCGAAATCACGCGGGCCTGGTATCCGTTGGAGGGCCTCGGAGGGCCCCGTCGGGCGCCTCTAGGAGGGGTGGCCCCTTGGGACGCCCTTCAGGGCCCCAGGATGCCCCAGAGACTGGCTTTTAACCCTGTGGGGCATAACGCGCGTTAAGCTCCCTCCCCTCCCCCCCTCCCCTTCGGTAGCAAATCATGGGGGCCTGGTATACGCTTTTCATTTCGTCTTTAGCGTCGATTCGCGTCTGGGAGCCGATGGGATAGCGCCGATTCAGCGTTGTTTCGCGTCGATTCGCGTCTGTGAGTCGATGAGGTGGCGCCGATTCAGCGTCGATTAAGCGTCGATTTGCGTCGAGCGGCGTCGATTCGCAAGGGCCGATAAGATGGTATTGTAGGCTCCCATGATTTGCCACCGAATGCCCCGAGGTTGCCAGGCAGAGAGACCTGGGCGGCTCCCACGCGGTGGCCGTCCAGTGCCTGGAGGACGCCCTGTGCCCCCCGGCAGAGGAGGCCGGCCGCTGCAGTGGGGCTGGGACCGCTTGCATCGGGGGGAGGCACTGCTCTACGGTCAAGGACTCCTGGATGGCGTGTCGCTCCGACGGTTCTGGCCCACCACGCTTTGGCGCGACACGCTGTCCACTTCCCGGCCCCCAGCGTCAACGCCCCGAGCGTTTCCCGACCTCCCGCCCCGCGGGGCGGAGCGACACGCTACCCGCTCGCAGGGCATAGCGTGTCGCTGGGGCCGCCGTGGCGGCACACTGTCTCAAGGTTCCCGACCGTAGAGGTGGCTGCCGTGTCTGCGCTCCGCTGCTGTCCTCCGAGGGCGCACGATTGGGTTCGGCAGAATCGGGAGATCGCCTCGGCTCTGTTCGACATGCACCCGGAATCCTTATCCCTTGCCTCATCTGCCGTCTGCGGCGGAGTATGTGGTGCATCTTCGCCGCGGGAGGCAACAGCATGTCTTATTTGTCACGGTGCAGCCACATGACCGACACTGGAGGTTCGAGCGTATCTGAATCACGTTAGAGTCGTGCGCGTGTTGGCAGGTTCGGGGCGAGCAAACGTCGTTGCGTTCACCCTCTTCTCGCTATCATTGCTATTATTCTCCCCCCGACTGGCCCCCGACTGAGGGGGGCAGGAGCCCCGCGGGGCCAGGCCACCTTGGCGAAGGGCCCAACTCAAAGCAGCTGGGTGTACAGCTGGCACGCGGGTTAAGAGCAGCACTGAATACAAGTCGCGTCACAACTAACGTGACAAACTCGGGGAACGAGAACCCTGACTACGAAGGTCCTCATACGCTTCTGACCTTGATCCCCATCCCCCATGCCCCCCTCCTATTCCCCAGTCTTCCCCACTTCCCCCTCCTCCTGCTCCTCCTGCTCCTCCTCCTCCTCATCCTTTTCCTCCTCCTCCTCTTCCTCATCCTCCTCCTCCTCCTCCTCCTCCTCCTCTTCCTCCTCCTCCTCACTCCTTCCATCCAGCACCCATCGACCCTTCCATGCAGCCTTCATCCTTTCTGCTCCTATCCACCCTCGTCCTTCCAAACGTGCCTCCGTCCATCCAGCTTCCGTTCATCGCAACCAGGCCGATTCCGTCCTTCTTCCAGTGCCTCCCAGACTCTTCAGTTGGCTCCCTCCTCTCCTCCGCCTGCAGCTAGGGCTCGCGCGAAGGAGGCAGCCGCGACCCGCCCGCGTCCACCCTTGTGGGCACGGTCCTATCGGACGCGCTCCAATGGAAAACGACAGGAGTGGGAGACAGGGAACCAACTTTTCCTCGTCCTCCCCTTCCTGCTTCTCCTCGTTACCTCCCTTCCTCCCTCCTCCACCCTATTCCTTGTTCCTCCTCCTCCTCCTCCTCCTCCTCCTCCTCCTCCTCCCCTCATCGTCGTCCTCCTCCTCCTCAGCAGCAGCATCATCATCATCGTCATCGCCGGCATCATCATTATCATCATCATCATCATCATCATCATCATCAGCAGCAGCAGCAGCAGCAGCACCATCAGCATCATCATCATCATCATCATCATCATCATCATCAACATCATCATCATCATCATCATCATCATCATCATCATCATCATCATCATCATCATCATCACCATCAGCATCATCGTCATCGTCATCATCACCATCCCCATCCTCGTCCTCCTCCTCATCATCGTTTTCCTCCTCCTCCTCCTGTTCCTTCCTCCCCTGGCCCGTGACTCCATCCAGAACCATCCCTCCATCCAGCCTCTCTCCATCCCTCTGTCCACCTCCCGCTCCATCCAGTTGGGCACCACCCCTCCATCAATACGGCATGAGCGCCTCCCTCCATCCAACCTCATCCCTCCATGATGCCTCCATCCATGCTTCCCGCCCTCTCCCACCCTTTCCCATCCATCATCTATCGAGCTACCACCCCTCCAACACACGCCTCTATCCATCCAGCCCCCCGTCGCGGCATCATCGCTCCTCTTCGTCATTCCTTTCCTCTTCATCCCCCTCATCCTCCTCATCAGCATCCTCTTTATCCTCCTGCTCCGCATCATCACCATCATCATCATTATCAGCATCAGCAGCAGCAGCATCATCATCATCATCCTCATCATCATAATCATCATCATCATCATCATCATCATCATCATCATCATCATCATCATCATCATCATCATCATCATCATCATCATCATCATCATCATCATTAGCATAATCATCAACATCATCATGATCATCATCATCATCAGCATCAGCATCATCATTATCACTATCACGATCATCATTAACATTATCCGTATCATCCATAGCATCGTCATCATCAGCGTCATCCTCATCAGCAGCAGCATCATCAGCAGCCTCATCATCGTCAGCATCATCAAACTAGTCGGCATCGTCGTCCCCATCCTCATCTTCATCATCATCGTCATCATCATGATCACCATGAGGACCTTCATTACTCTCCTCACCTCCTCATCTCCTCCTCATCTCCTCCTCATCTCCTCATCTCCTCCTCATCTCCTCCTCATCTCCTCCTCCTCCTCCTCCTCCTCCCCCTTCCCCTCCTCCTCCTCCTCATCCCCCTCCGCCCACCGTGCCTGCCCCTCCTCCTCTTCTTACTCCTCGTGCTTCCCCCCTTCTCCCCGGCCTGGCCCCCATTGCCCCCAGGCGCGCAAGAATGGCAAGGGAATGCCTGCGCGCTGCCTGGTAAGGGAATGCCCGGGTGCTGTCTGGTAAAGGAATGCCTGTTGGCTGTCTGGTAAGGGAATGTTTGCGTGTTCTGTCTGGTTAGGGACTGCCCTTCAGCTGTCTGGTAAAGGAATGCCGGTTAGCTGTCTGGCTGGGTGATGCTTGCTGGCTGTCTGGGAAGGGAATGTTTGCGTACCGTTTGGTCAGGGATATATGTTGGCTGTCTGGTTGGGTGCTGCTTGCTGTCTGCCTGGTGCTGCCTGTTGGCTGCTTGGTTAGATAAGACGGCGATGACATTTCACACGGCGGAGTGTGAAGCGCGATCATACCCTGAGCTGAAGAATACGTCGTTAGCGACCAGCTAAACGCACAACGGAAGACGGGGTTCCGCCGCCCCACCCTCCCCTTCAAAGTTGACACCGAGAGCGCAATCGCTTGCGCCCGCGCGAGTGTTCCAATTGCCTTTCAACTTTGAAGAGGGGGGGGGGGGGGGGGGCGAACTGCGTTGCTCAACTTTGAAGGGGGGGCGGCAGAGTCGCCTCTCAACTTTGGAAAGGCCGCCGCCGCGTCAGGTTTATTTGCGCGCGGCTTGTAGTTTCGGGGGTACCTTCATGCCTGTCATGCTTGGGCTTTCCACCTTGGAATGTCATTCGTTTTCGGTGTCTCCACGGGGATTTGGTTCTCTGTCGAAGGTGCTTGTCTTGTTGAATCACTTTCTTGTGGCCATGTTTCGAATGTAGCCGTGCCCTTCTCTTGATATGCTACGTCCCCCGGGGCAATGCGGATAAAGGACTGCGGAACCTTTCCCCCCGGAAAACCCAAAATTGGCAGTGCCGCGCGCGAGGCAACGCGGGAAGGGACAACATGTGGACGTTCAAGTTGTGGGAGCAGGTGGGAATGTGTTTCTGCGGTTGCGGATGACATCAGTTCAGATAGTCTTCATTCGGGGAACGGGTGTGAGCCATATGTATTTTCCGGTTGCAGATGTTACCAGTTCAGATTCTCCTCTCTCCTTCGGTATCTCTTTTTAGGTATGAGCACCTTTTGTCTGGGCAGAAAGGGGGGCCTTGGGTGGCGCCCCCTACGCGACCGCGACCGCTGAGGCCGCAGGAGGGTTGCCCTGTATATCCAAAGTGGGACCACACGGAGTACGCAGGGTGGTCCGTCAATGGTAACCGCTTTAGGACCGACCATGTTGGATCCACAGGGTCTCCGTCGTTGTGGATCCAGAGTGATCGGCCGTGGGAACGATCACACGCCTTGCGCGGATCGTGCTCCATGTGAAGAGCGATCCGCGTGAGGGGTGTATCGAAATGGGCGTGGGGACTCCGTTCGAACTTGCCCACAAGTGCCATCGGTGAACTCTTGGGATCCTCTTGGCCCGTCTTCGGGCCCTCTGGTCTCGGGAAACATTGCTCGGGAAGCCCCAAGTGTTATGTGGAAACACGCGAGACCCCCCGCAGGAAATTCATGAGTTGGGTGTCTCGGCTCCTTAGAGAGCATTTGCAACATTCTGGATTGAGGACTCTTGAGGGCCTGAGGACACTCCACTCAGTGCCTCGAGGCACAGTTGCGGATTCGCATTGGTGATTGTGGAGGTGGAGGACGACCAGATTAACCGCAAGATGTATCAACTATGCTGCAGTACAAACGCCCGTCCCAAGTCCATTCCCTACCAATCTCCTGTCAGCATTACGGTCGGACCGAGGTTTAAGATCGAGGTAGGTTCGGGGAGGGTACCCGAATGTTCTTCGTGCTTGTTGGATGCTCTTGTGCACCCTGGGGAGGGTACCCCTGGATGTTCTGTGTTTGGGCCTGCGGAGGGCCTCGTGTTCTTCAAGGATGTTCTTCTGTCGTACAAGACTCGCCAAACATAACTTGACGGTTTTTGATTTCGGTGCTTGCATGGTCGGCGTTATTCCGATGTTGGCATGAGGTATTCGGTCCAGACGCAGGGGGGTCCGAACTCCGGCAGCGCCCTCACAGTATTGAAGAACGCGTTGTCTGACAAGTGCCCGAACGATCGACGGTGTCGATTTTGAACAGCGTTTCAATGTATGTTTGACGACCCCTCCTTCAGAGCCTAGATTTGCTGAGAATGAGGGTGGTACACAATCTCGACTCCCTTGTCTTCAAGGATGTTATTCTGTCTTAGGTTCGACTGTCTTAGGGAAACGAACAATGACATAAACATAAAGACTTGGAGGCCCGCGCGGACCTCCGAGTTTTTATGTTTCTGTCATTTCGCCGAGCGCGTTCCACTACTCGCAAAGTGCCTACTCGCAAACGTCCGACATGTACAGGTCTTCCTCTATGTAATTAATATCTCGTAAATCCCCCGCGGCG